ATGTCTGGCAAACTCAAGGCTAAATAATCATTACATCATTTCTTTCAATTGTATCCAACGTTGTGTTTCAAATACAAGTGTAAATGGATTTCTGAAGAGTTCAGTAGTATAAGAGACAAGTGTATCATTCAAAGTAAGTAAAATGGTTCATACTCCGATATGCTTCTTTTGCATGAGACCGAATATATTAGATGAATTATTCGTTTTTCCCTACGAATTGAATTTGTTTCCACATGGTACTCTTTCTTCACATCAATTTATCCATGTCTATCAGTCCAGTTTCACTTGAGCTAATAACTTTTCAATGGAGAACAAAATAATCTATTATTATTATTATCATTATTATTATTATTATTATTATTATTATTATTATTGAATGGCACCGAATACTCACTTCTAAATTTCATGAATAACAAACAAAAACAAAAAATTGTGTAGGTGGAGAAAGTAAGTGACATAGTTCACACCCACACACATACTTTGAATTATATTCCATATGCTAATTTTATGTACAAAACATTGGAACTTTCTTTATCTACGTGTATACAATGTATGGATGGAGTTTTGATGCGTAAGACTAACTTACCTGTTTTATTGTTTGTTTTGTTGTGAATCACTTCGATATTTTTGTTAGCTCAGTTTAACACGATTTCATGCATAAATAAACAGCACACATTGGTGCAGACTTACACAAAACGAGAATGCCAATGTTACCTAGACTGTTTTACTACTTGTCGATTCATTTAGCGAATTATTGGTGTTATTTGTCAAAGTCTGTGGACTGATTAACTATCATTTGATTCTTACGCATAACTGACAGTTCTTTGAAAATCCTCATTGACATGGTACATCTTCCAATGAGATATTGTATCACAGAATTACCTAACCGCTCAAAATTCTGATTCATATGTTTCGACACACACACACATGTAATCAGAGGCGTAGAAGTAGGAGAAATGTCAGTGATTGCAAATTTATGCGTTAATCATGCAACAATTCGAAACTAATGATATTAAGCGTTGGTCATCAAACTATTTGCAAGTAGTTGTCTCAACATTGCATACAATTTTATTTTTGATAGAATTTTCGGATGAAAGGAAACCAGTGTCACAGTGTCACAGACTAATCGGATAATTAGTCTACCGAATGGAAGAAATAATGCAAAATAACATAACCAATAATAAATTCAACTATATCTACTACAAAAAAAACTGTTATTCAGTTCAAACTATTCCTGATGAAAATGGCGTGCATAAAAGATACCTACTAGAAAACGGAATCAAACTAGACATGATTGATAACTGGATTACAAATCCAATTTCCAATCTATTCATTATTTGATCATTCATCTATCTCGGTTTACAATCAGTTAGCATTGAGACCAACTATGTCTACTCGTTAAACTACTCAATGAAGTGTCAAGTATTGAGAATGAGTTTAACAACAATACAGCTTATTCTCGTCACAATTAATTAAATTCAAACCAGTAACGTTGATCCACATAACTATCAACATTTATAGTCTGCCAATATCATTCATTGCCAAACATTTGTCAGAAACAATATCTTCATTATAAAATGGTTCGATAGAGCATTATTATTCAGTAGCTAAATGATTAGACAATAGGTAATCTCTCTATTAACACTGAACAACCATTTATTCTGACAGTATCAAACGAAACACACACACTAATTTCATACAATGCATTACACTCAAACAAAACACAAAGTCTCATGTTGTTTTGATAAACAATGGTGAACAATAAAGTTTTCTGTTTCAAATGAGAATTTTGTGGAAATTTGAAATATCATGATATCATTGATAAATTATTTACCGATTTCTTCTGTTATTTCTTCACACTTACGGAATTCACATCTGACCATTTACTGATTTGGCCAAATTCAGATGGTATTAGTGAGATCAACATTTCACACAAATAATATCTGAAAAAGAGAGTTTTCAGTCAACTTATCAATCTGTTGCTTAGTGACAGAATACCTCCTAGCTACTTCATTAGATTATCAGAACAGAAAACATGCTTATTGATTCATTAATAAGTCACAGATTGATACTTCATCAGTTGGTCAGTAAGGTTTGATTTTTTGAAGTGCATTCCATCTCTTACCATTTATGGTGTTTCAATTAATTGGATTGAGCGTTAACTGTGAATTCACACTGAACACACAGTTTATTCTTCAACACAATACTATTCTTGCTAGCTATCAAATCTTAGTCAGTAGTATGGTAAGAGTCTCATATCTCACACATGAACATGTTTAACGAGACTTCAATTAATATGAACATACAACATACAAAGATCGCTGTTGTACAATGGATGTCACATTTTATTGAGACACTCAGATAAAAATGTAAGGTGCTCAAAGTCATAGCAACATATCTATTAGTGTTTCAATAAGACAGACTACAAATAATCTCATTTCGTCTAGTCTGGAGTGCATTCTACGCAAAAACAATTCAGCTACAATCAAAATCATGCATCTTGACTACTTAAAAAATGGAAGTAGTTCAACTATTCCAACTTAATTTCTTCCTTACGAAACATTTCCTACCACATCAGTCCTCTTCATAAGACTAAAATCACTAATCTGTTCATATACAACAGTATGCATCAAGTCGTGTATGAGAACACTCGAAAACTCGTGAACACCAAACACACCAACACAACCACTCTCTCTCTCTCACAACCGCTCTCACTCGATGCAAACACTTATCTAGAACGAACCAACAGATCAACGAGAAATCTGATAAACAATTCGGTCTTCCGTAGGCAATGGTAATATTGAGGAAATCGTGAATTTGAGTTTCACCCTTGTCGACCGACTACCTCCGTTGCATATCATCACTGGTCAGTTATTTGACAGTAAACTAGAAGTAATTAGTGGTTTTCTCTGTGTTGCATTAATAAAAAGGCTACAGATCGGTCTTTATTGAACGAAGTTTTTCACATATCATGAGAGACCTCTTCCCATACATCACTAATAATCAAACGACCAAGAAAACTAAAGCTGATTAATTTGCAATGAGGAATTAGAATTCTACCAACTGCAATTATTCACTTAGTTCATGCATTTTCTTATAGCTATTTGAAAAAAACAGCTGTTCGTTACCCATGGTGCACTGATATTCTTCCATTTCGTAGTAACCTCGTTTATTTGACAGATGGAGAAATATGGATTTAGTAAAACACAATTAGTCTTTATTTTCCACAACCTTTTGCGTGATTTAAATTACTTAATTGAATTCGACTTCAGAATAAAGTGAATTGACCTCAATAGTGATTAGCATTGTCAACTTTCTTCGCATTAGTTCATTAAACTTAATTCAAGATAACCGAAAAATATGCACATCAATAAGTGAGGTCACCGGAAACTAGAAAATCAAATGATATTCAACTAAGAATAGGTTGAAAGCGCAACAATTTAAAAGACAGAAGTTTGACGAGGAAAAATCGAGGTGGAGTATTCAATAGTTGTTATGAAACATGCCCATTTCATCTACCAAATAACGAATATGCACACTGACATGTAGTTCAAGTAACCTATCATCACACTCCAACAACATCGACACAATGTGCAAATGCATTCAATACACTAATTAATATTAGTTACAAGTACATTTCCTCGATTAAAACTACTTAACATCCTTATTCTCCTCATTAACCGAATTAGTCGGTGATTAAAGCGAACAACAACCATAACAGTGATCAAGTTGAACAAAAACTGGAGTTAAAAAAGTGAAGAGAATAAAGCAGAAGTCACAAAACCTAGCAGTGGATAGAAATGAGATTGAGTCAAACCGAAATGATTATATAGATGGTTTTGATGGAGCCTAGATTATTCTTGACTGGAAGATTAGTGGACAGTAATAAATGAACAACTATAAATGTACAACTATTATTTCACAGTATTTTCTCATGTCTGAGTAAGCACAGATCGATAGCTATCATTGAAGCAGTATGTAGAGATTTATCGAAGTGAAATGATGCAGTTAGACTGCTTCAATCACTCACTAAGAAATAAGTTTCTGCAGTTTCGTGACTTTGTCAAAATCACTTTTCTACAGAATAAATAACTTTTCCAAGTCAGCAGAATTCTTTAGTAGTAAGCGAAACGAGCCAGACCAAATGAATGCCAACATACAAACAAAGGAAGCTAGTCCTGTTATAGTCACGTCAATTAGGTCAAAGGTGACCGATTATACATATATAATATATAGAGCAGTCACTGTGTATTTGCGTGTATGTGAGTGAGTGACTGTGACCAATAGAGTTGGTTACAAGAAGTATTGCAATCAGTCAATTACTTGATAATGACAAACTCTTTTTATTAATAATGAAGACTAGATTTGTGAAATTCTATTCAGTTATCATCCTATGACAATGAACAATCACGAACATTTCTAATCGATGAAGTAAGCACTCAATATAAGACTTTTATCTCATATGTGCAATAAAATTGTTGTGACAATTCACGAGTGATATCACAGTGACGTGCAAAATAACCCCTATCGCTTGATGACCAGGCGCTATGATGTACAAGATCGAAGCAGAGGTTAATAATGCAGTTCTTAACATGACAAACAGTGCGAACAAGTATCAGACACGATATTAGACACAGTATTCCTATCATAAAATATGACTAACTCTCATGGATACACTCCTGAGTATCATGTGAAAACAGTCTAATCCAAATCAATCGAATATTCACCAGAGTTCAATCTGTACAATACATGTAGTACTTATGTAAAAGTAATCTTGGGAAATAGTGAAATACATATATATACGCTGGCAATAATTCAGTCACACAATCCAATTACGTAATATACACTACTCAGTCCTTCAACGATTGACCGAACCACTATCTATTTCGTAATTATCATAGTCAAAGACATGAGAATATCGAAACCACATAAAGATCGAACGGACAACATTCATGACAATTTACGTATAATTCACATTCATTTCAAAAATAAAGAAAGCTATGACAACATGCATTTATTTAATTTACAACAGAAATATATTATTCTGTTCACATTCACGACGAACATGTTCAGGCCATATACTGACTTGTACTTCACCAATATGTTTCTTCTCCATAAAGAACATACACAACCGACTCTGTCCTATTCCACCTCCTATCGTCAATGGATATTGACCATTCAGAACATTTTGATGATATTCAAACTGTTTACGTGCTTCACAACCACTTTGCTTCAACTGTTTCTCCATTGACAACTCATCCACTCGGATACCCATTGACGACAATTCTATACATCTATCGTCGTGTTCGCTGTACACTAGTATATCTCCATTCAATTCCCAATCATCATAGTCTGGGGCTCGATTATCGTGTGCCGTATTGGACTTCAAAAGCTTTCCGATTTGTTTTAAGAAAACAGCACCATACTGTTTAACCACAAGATATTCACGTTCTGTCGGTTTTTTGTCGGGATAGATATCTTCTAACTGTTGTGTTGTGATGAATTTAATATGTTCTGGTAATTTACGTTTCAACACTGGGTATGCCGATACTAACATGTTCTCTGTTACTTTCATAGCTTCATAAATTTTCTCAATTACCTCCTCCAACCAGGTATTGCAGTTGAGTGAAATTACTGCTGTATCTCTTTTACAACTGAACAAATGCATTCAAACAATAAGTCGCACTACGTATAGTTTAACTGTTCGAGTCCGATGCTCATCTAGCTGATGAATTTCGGCTGCAATTGTTAGTGAAAATGATGTTCTTTATCATATATTGAGAGAGTATTTCTTACAGTTATATAGATGCATACATTGGTTTGGCTAAAGAAATATCTCAATGTGTTTTTTCATATTCTAAAAATTCAAAATAATAATCGTTCTATTTGTTTACAAATAAATGTGAATATAGAGAGTTTGAATTAACATTCTGCAGCTGTTTTTGCAAATCATTTTGATATCGCACAACTGGCGTGATGTGCAAATCAATTTAATCATGCAGCCTTAGGGTATGGCGATGACTGAAATTTACCCGAATGATAAGTTATGTCTAAAAATGCATATTACATTTACAGTCACCAGTTTTCTTTTCTTTCACTCCATGCTATATCAACCAATGAGGGAGAATATCAGTAGATCAGTTCGTGTTAGAATGTTAATCTGACCATAATGTTTATATCAATCAATAGGACAGGAAAGATTCTGTTTACTTCTGTACTAGCCAATCATAAGTTAGCTGATGAAATTTAATTTTAAGCATGTGATCTGCACTGAATATAAATGATGATATTATGCTGTTCGAGTCAGATGGTTGTATTTTTTATTAAGTGAGTTATCTGTCTCCCTTTTCCATTGTACACAGTCGGGAAATCTTCATGTTTGATCTTTTTTGTTATAGATTTTCAATGACTTGATAATCACTTACGAATGAGAACAAGTAGTAAATAGTAATTTGTTTATTTAAGATTGAACTATAATTACCATCGAATTCTTTATATCATAAGATTCCTGTTGTTACCTTAAAGAATTCTACCAGCTCAGTGAGGATAAACAGTGTAATGTAAGATGAAACTGTATCGGGTAACAAGGTTGGTTTTGAATTATTTAAGGTAATTTCCTTGAAAGACGATGTTTGTTTATGAGTGACCGAAACCGGTCAACCTCAATATTCGCTAATGCTAATGACTTCCATTATATGGTTTCTCAAATTGACTTTATGTATCACTTACAAGTCCAAACTAGTGGTGGTCGACGGTTCACACTACATTCTTTCAAATTATTTCATTAAACTAAAGCAAGACCAATTATCGTAGTAGAATAATATGAATTTATCATAGTTCACAGTTTCTTACCATCTTATTACACACTAAGCATAAATACTATTAATGGTTGAAACATAGAATAGGCATAATTCAGATTATAATATCAGATACATTCTCCTGAATGAAAATTCACGCAGAAAGGAACCAATAATTATCGGAGAATTACAAAGGATATTGATGTGCTAAACAATAGGTAGAATTTAGGATATTCTAGGATAAAAACAACTGACTACAGATCAGATGAGAGGAGAGGATTAATGATTAGTGTCGTGCAAAGAAGAATTTCGTAACAAACATTCAGAAGTGAGCTCCCGAAGGCAAACCAAATTTGGCCGACATCTTTTTATGTCAATCACTTTAGTAAACTATAGTAAATTCGACATTCTCTATTGATTAACTATCGATTTAGCCTGTGAAACTGTACAACCAATCTTCCGTTATCAGAATTCACTTGTCCAATGGGAACGTTGAATTGTATGATCATAACTGATAATTAAAAATTAAAACTTGTAGTTTTACTGATAGAAAGGTTTATTTTTAAATCTGTACATGTTTGTTGCTACATGATATGTTTAGACGTATTCTTCCACTCTGAACATGTATATATGTATTGCGATCCCATTGGATTTCAGTTCACATCTGAAACTTCACCAAGATTTCGATTTCAGTGTTTTTACTGAGATTTACTTTTTTCCAGTTGATCCCCTAACCCTTGATCTCACGATAAGTCAGTACAATGTCAAAATATCAGTCAAAACTGGATGTTGAGAAAACACAAGAAGCAATCAAATATTTGCGGCACTGTTTCCAGAAACAACTATCAGCGAAATTGAATTTGTTGCGTGTGTCAGCCCCATTGTTTGTACCAGTCAATAGTGGGTTACAAGATGATCTATCCGGTGTGGAACGCGCAATTAGTTTCGATGTTAAATCTGGTGAGACAGCATTGATTAATCAATCATTGGCTAAATGGAAACGTATGGCACTACATAAATATAAATTAAATCATTATGATGGAATTTATACAGATATGAATGCAATCAGACGTGATGAAGTTGTCTCTCCATTGCATTCATATTATGTAGACCAATGGGACTGGGAATTGATTATTCAGAGAGATGAACGAAATGATAAGAAATTGGAAGAGGTAGTTGAGAAAATTTATGAAGCTATGAAAGTAACAGAGAACATGTTAGTATCGGCATACCCAGTGTTGAAACGTAAATTACCAGAACATATTAAATTCATCACAACACAACAGTTAGAAGATATCTATCCCGACAAAAAACCGACAGAACGTGAATATCTTGTGGTTAAACAGTATGGTGCTGTTTTCTTAAAACAAATCGGAAAGCTTTTGAAGTCCAATACGGCACACGATAATCGAGCCCCAGACTATGATGATTGGGAATTGAATGGAGATATACTAGTGTACAGCGAACACGACGATAGATGTATAGAATTGTCGTCAATGGGTATCCGAGTGGATGAGTTGTCAATGGAGAAACAGTTGAAGCAAAGTGGTTGTGAAGCACGTAAACAGTTTGAATATCATCAAAATGTTCTGAATGGTCAATATCCATTGACGATAGGAGGTGGAATAGGACAGAGTCGGTTGTGTATGTTCTTTATGGAGAAGAAACATATTGGTGAAGTACAAGTCAGTATATGGCCTGAACATGTTCGTCGTGAATGTGAACAGAATAATATATTTCTGTTGTAAATTAAATAAATGCATGTTGTCATAGCTTTCTTTATTTTTGAAATGAATGTGAATTATACGTAAATTGTCATGAATGTTGTCCGTTCGATCTTTATGTGGTTTCGATATTCTCATGTCTTTGACTATGATAATTACGAAATAGATAGTGGTTCGGTCAATCGTTGAAGGACTGAGTAGTGTATATTACGTAATTGGATTGTGTGACTGAATTATTGCCAGCGTATATATATGTATTTCACTATTTCCCAAGATTACTTTTACATAAGTACTACATGTATTGTACAGATTGAACTCTGGTGAATATTCGATTGATTTGGATTAGACTGTTTTCACATGATACTCAGGAGTGTATCCATGAGAGTTAGTCATATTTTATGATAGGAATACTGTGTCTAATATCGTGTCTGATACTTGTTCGCACTGTTTGTCATGTTAAGAACTGCATTATTAACCTCTGCTTCGATCTTGTACATCATAGCGCCTGGTCATCAAGCGATAGGGGTTATTTTGCACGTCACTGTGATATCACTCGTGAATTGTCACAACAATTTTATTGCACATATGAGATAAAAGTCTTATATTGAGTGCTTACTTCATCGATTAGAAATGTTCGTGATTGTTCATTGTCATAGGATGATAACTGAATAGAATTTCACAAATCTAGTCTTCATTATTAATAAAAAGAGTTTGTCATTATCAAGTAATTGACTGATTGCAATACTTCTTGTAACCAACTCTATTGGTCACAGTCACTCACTCACATACACGCAAATACACAGTGACTGCTCTATATATTATATATGTATAATCGGTCACCTTTGACCTAATTGACGTGACTATAACAGGACTAGCTTCCTTTGTTTGTATGTTGGCATTCATTTGGTCTGGCTCGTTTCGCTTACTACTAAAGAATTCTGCTGACTTGGAAAAGTTATTTATTCTGTAGAAAAGTGATTTTGACAAAGTCACGAAACTGCAGAAACTTATTTCTTAGTGAGTGATTGAAGCAGTCTAACTGCATCATTTCACTTCGATAAATCTCTACATACTGCTTCAATGATAGCTATCGATCTGTGCTTACTCAGACATGAGAAAATACTGTGAAATAATAGTTGTACATTTATAGTTGTTCATTTATTACTGTCCACTAATCTTCCAGTCAAGAATAATCTAGGCTCCATCAAAACCATCTATATAATCATTTCGGTTTGACTCAATCTCATTTCTATCCACTGCTAGGTTTTGTGACTTCTGCTTTATTCTCTTCACTTTTTTAACTCCAGTTTTTGTTCAACTTGATCACTGTTATGGTTGTTGTTCGCTTTAATCACCGACTAATTCGGTTAATGAGGAGAATAAGGATGTTAAGTAGTTTTAATCGAGGAAATGTACTTGTAACTAATATTAATTAGTGTATTGAATGCATTTGCACATTGTGTCGATGTTGTTGGAGTGTGATGATAGGTTACTTGAACTACATGTCAGTGTGCATATTCGTTATTTGGTAGATGAAATGGGCATGTTTCATAACAACTATTGAATACTCCACCTCGATTTTTCCTCGTCAAACTTCTGTCTTTTAAATTGTTGCGCTTTCAACCTATTCTTAGTTGAATATCATTTGATTTTCTAGTTTCCGGTGACCTCACTTATTGATGTGCATATTTTTCGGTTATCTTGAATTAAGTTTAATGAACTAATGCGAAGAAAGTTGACAATGCTAATCACTATTGAGGTCAATTCACTTTATTCTGAAGTCGAATTCAATTAAGTAATTTAAATCACGCAAAAGGTTGTGGAAAATAAAGACTAATTGTGTTTTACTAAATCCATATTTCTCCATCTGTCAAATAAACGAGGTTACTACGAAATGGAAGAATATCAGTGCACCATGGGTAACGAACAGCTGTTTTTTTCAAATAGCTATAAGAAAATGCATGAACTAAGTGAATAATTGCAGTTGGTAGAATTCTAATTCCTCATTGCAAATTAATCAGCTTTAGTTTTCTTGGTCGTTTGATTATTAGTGATGTATGGGAAGAGGTCTCTCATGATATGTGAAAAACTTCGTTCAATAAAGACCGATCTGTAGCCTTTTTATTAATGCAACACAGAGAAAACCACTAATTACTTCTAGTTTACTGTCAAATAACTGACCAGTGATGATATGCAACGGAGGTAGTCGGTCGACAAGGGTGAAACTCAAATTCACGATTTCCTCAATATTACCATTGCCTACGGAAGACCGAATTGTTTATCAGATTTCTCGTTGATCTGTTGGTTCGTTCTAGATAAGTGTTTGCATCGAGTGAGAGCGGTTGTGAGAGAGAGAGAGTGGTTGTGTTGGTGTGTTTGGTGTTCACGAGTTTTCGAGTGTTCTCATACACGACTTGATGCATACTGTTGTATATGAACAGATTAGTGATTTTAGTCTTATGAAGAGGACTGATGTGGTAGGAAATGTTTCGTAAGGAAGAAATTAAGTTGGAATAGTTGAACTACTTCCATTTTTTAAGTAGTCAAGATGCATGATTTTGATTGTAGCTGAATTGTTTTTGCGTAGAATGCACTCCAGACTAGACGAAATGAGATTATTTGTAGTCTGTCTTATTGAAACACTAATAGATATGTTGCTATGACTTTGAGCACCTTACATTTTTATCTGAGTGTCTCAATAAAATATGACATCCAATGTACAACAGCGATCTTTGTATGTTGTATGTTCATATTAATTGAAGTCTCGTTAAACATGTTCATGTGTGAGATATGAGACTCTTACCATACTACTGACTAAGATTTGATAGCTAGCAAGAATAGTATTGTGTTGAAGAATAAACTGTGTGTTCAGTGTGAATTCACAGTTAACGCTCAATCCAATTAATTGAAACACCATAAATGGTAAGAGATGGAATGCACTTCAAAAAATCAAACCTTACTGACCAACTGATGAAGTATCAATCTGTGACTTATTAATGAATCAATAAGCATGTTTTCTGTTCTGATAATCTAATGAAGTAGCTAGGAGGTATTCTGTCACTAAGCAACAGATTGATAAGTTGACTGAAAACTCTCTTTTTCAGATATTATTTGTGTGAAATGTTGATCTCACTAATACCATCTGAATTTGGCCAAATCAGTAAATGGTCAGATGTGAATTCCGTAAGTGTGAAGAAATAACAGAAGAAATCGGTAAATAATTTATCAATGATATCATGATATTTCAAATTTCCACAAAATTCTCATTTGAAACAGAAAACTTTATTGTTCACCATTGTTTATCAAAACAACATGAGACTTTGTGTTTTGTTTGAGTGTAATGCATTGTATGAAATTAGTGTGTGTGTTTCGTTTGATACTGTCAGAATAAATGGTTGTTCAGTGTTAATAGAGAGATTACCTATTGTCTAATCATTTAGCTACTGAATAATAATGCTCTATCGAACCATTTTATAATGAAGATATTGTTTCTGACAAATGTTTGGCAATGAATGATATTGGCAGACTATAAATGTTGATAGTTATGTGGATCAACGTTACTGGTTTGAATTTAATTAATTGTGACGAGAATAAGCTGTATTGTTGTTAAACTCATTCTCAATACTTGACACTTCATTGAGTAGTTTAACGAGTAGACATAGTTGGTCTCAATGCTAACTGATTGTAAACCGAGATAGATGAATGATCAAATAATGAATAGATTGGAAATTGGATTTGTAATCCAGTTATCAATCATGTCTAGTTTGATTCCGTTTTCTAGTAGGTATCTTTTATGCACGCCATTTTCATCAGGAATAGTTTGAACTGAATAACAGTTTTTTTTGTAGTAGATATAGTTGAATTTATTATTGGTTATGTTATTTTGCATTATTTCTTCCATTCGGTAGACTAATTATCCGATTAGTCTGTGACACTGTGACACTGGTTTCCTTTCATCCGAAAATTCTATCAAAAATAAAATTGTATGCAATGTTGAGACAACTACTTGCAAATAGTTTGATGACCAACGCTTAATATCATTAGTTTCGAATTGTTGCATGATTAACGCATAAATTTGCAATCACTGACATTTCTCCTACTTCTACGCCTCTGATTACATGTGTGTGTGTGTCGAAACATATGAATCAGAATTTTGAGCGGTTAGGTAATTCTGTGATACAATATCTCATTGGAAGATGTACCATGTCAATGAGGATTTTCAAAGAACTGTCAGTTATGCGTAAGAATCAAATGATAGTTAATCAGTCCACAGACTTTGACAAATAACACCAATAATTCGCTAAATGAATCGACAAGTAGTAAAACAGTCTAGGTAACATTGGCATTCTCGTTTTGTGTAAGTCTGCACCAATGTGTGCTGTTTATTTATGCATGAAATCGTGTTAAACTGAGCTAACAAAAATATCGAAGTGATTCACAACAAAACAAACAATAAAACAGGTAAGTTAGTCTTACGCATCGAAACTCCATCCATACATTGTATACACGTAGATAAAGAAAGTTCCAATGTTTTGTACATAAAATTAGCATATGGAATATAATTCAAAGTATGTGTGTGGGTGTGAACTATGTCACTTACTTTCTCCACCTACACAATTTTTTGTTTTTGTTTGTTATTCATGAAATTTAGAATTGAGTATTCGGTGCCATTCAATAATAATAATAATAATAATAATAATAATAATGATAATAATAATAATAGATTATTTTGTTCTCCATTGAAAAGTTATTAGTTCAAGTGAAACTACACTGATAGACATGGATAAATTGATGTGAAGTAAGAGTACCATGTGGAAACAAATTCAATTCGTAGGGAAAAACGAATAATTCATCTAATATATTCGGTCTCATGCAAAAGAAGCATATCGGAGTATGAACCATTTTACTTACTTTGAATGATACACTTGTCTCTTATACTACTGAACTCTTCAGAAATCCATTTACACTTGTATTTGAAACACAACGTTGGATACAATTGAAAGAAATGATGTAATGATTATTTAGCCTTGAGTTTGCCAGACATGGAAGTTGGGATACTTATCAATATGTCTTCATCCGTTGCATTGGCTAACATCGAAACTAACCGAAATCGTTGTTCCGTCTCAACAATGACACTGAGTGTAATTTGAGCCTTCAAAACGTTTATAACAATGAAATGATCATTCACGAACGGCATTTATCAGTATTAGTGTGTTACAATAGTAAAAGACGGAACCACTACCTCACTACCAGTTCTATGGTGTGCAATCGATTGATGAGGGCTAGTTGAAATTGAAGTTGATGAGGATTGGCAAACCGTTCAACATTCAATGACCTGCCTACTGGATGATTTATCACGGAGCCAGTGATATTTCATTGACCCGACCAACTTCTACTTTCATTTCAGTGTTATCACAATTTGATACTTTGTTGCTTGCGTCTTAAGCCCAGTTTGGCTCCATATTACTGTTGATTTTACTGAATGGATGAACAGTTGAATTCATCTCACATGGCCAATCGAATGAACAGGAAAGACCTGATTAATGAGGCTGTAAACAATAGAACTCAGGTAAATTTAGTATGCGTTACCATATATTGAAACAAATGAAAATATTCACGACTGGGTTTAACTTCCGAAAAAGTGAATACAAATACTTAAGCTCTTGATTGTTGGTAGGAGTAAAATACCTTCATGTACTTTATGATGAATCGAACTGATTTCGTTGTAATTTACCCACATGTGGTTTTTGCTGACTTTGTTCAGAAGAACAATGAATGTCTCACAATTGAACTTTGCCAAAATCACCCATCCTAGCTATAAATCTTCTCAACCAAATATTCGTTTAGTTAGACTATCTATGACGTGAAAGCGAGTTGAAGTGATAAATCAGTCGACCACGTTGCGATAGATTTCATTATTTCAGGCACCGACACACACACTGTTCAATCCGTTCAGAGATACTTAGACTAACGAATGTGGCATACTCAATCAGAATCCACATACAACTAACTGATATTTATCCATAATAAAATCCAAATCAACAACGTTCTAACATGTAAAAAATACCACAAAATGCGGTACCACAAATATCAATAAAATTCACAACTTTCACTCATAACGATTCTCTTTCGTAAATTCTCTGATGATCAGAGCTTTGATGAAGAACGGATGAGAAGTCACACCAAAAACCACAAAGCGAAATAAGCAATTAGAACGATAACTCCACAGTCAGAGCACACACAGAATATCAAATGGATAGAGCGAAATCACATGACTGTCTGAGTGTTTATGAGCATTCCACGTCATATCAAGCATTTAATATTGAATAAACCATTATTATTATTATTATTATTATTACTATTCTAATTAACAGTGAACCAATCGTATGACAAAATCAATGCACTGTAAAGTAAACGGTTAGAATACTACTAGTGATCCGTGAAAATAGAGGAGCATATCAAGTGTAATTGAGAAAATGACTGACAGATTGCATAGAGAAAATAGTGTTTGGGAAGCGTAGAATATGTACGTGCACAAAATTTAAATGTGCTAATCAAGATAAAATTTATTCATCACAGACATACAATGTAATGTTACTGTGATCATTGTCATTCATTGCAAAGACGTATATCAAGTCAATTGTGTCGATTTCAGTCAGTGACAAGATAAGAAATAAAAAAGATTTACAAATAGGAAACTCTGAATGTAACAAACACGTGTAAACAACATAGTATGCACATATCTCAACCGTGAATGGTTACGGTAACTATGCTCGTTTAAAAACCTCAAGTGTAGTGAGTTTCACTTTAAGTGAAGATGGTATTTTCAGAAGAATTTAACAAAATAAAGTGTGAAAAATAGTTCAATACAAAGTTTTGTTGGCGTAATTTGAAATAAATTGAGCATGTTGATAGCAGATCATTTTTTTATGTGGTTGAAAGTAGTGGACAGGAACCACTGTACAGAGATTTCGTGTTAGTCGGTACTCATCAAGAAGATATGCTTGTGGTTTTGAGGGCACTGAAATTCAACTCAGCACAGTCAGTGTCCAGTCAGTTAGACTAATGGCAACAATACAGGAACATGAATAAAAGCATTGGATTACTACTTAAGGGACATGACGAACACATATGTCGTTGTTCAATGACCAATTAATTGTAAACAAATCATTCACTCAGTTGTTGTCTTGTACACATTCTCACAGCCATTTATAATATGTTAAATGAACTTATGAGAGTGGTTTGTCACCTCACTACCGATGAGTTATATGCTGAATTTTTGTTGATTCATGCGAGACTCATATTGTCCAGTATCTATAGTTTCGATTATATAGATTGTATAGATTTCACAGTTAATTTCGGCTACGTAGAAAGAACAACAAATCATGTTCAGGGATACTTACTGATGCCAGCAAAGCATATAAGGGTAGTTATAACTAACGAAAGTAGTATGCCACTTAACGTAAAGACCGGTTGTTTGCCTTGACTTTTGAAATAGAATATAATAATTTTTGAATTATGTAGATCAGGTTCAACATCTGAAAAGTAAAAAACTCACCGCGGATGCTTGGGATGTAGTAAATCATTTAGAAAGAGAAATTAATAAACTGGTATTTCTAATAATTATGGGGACATATGGATCGAGTTGAACATATCTACCACCTAGGTCGATATTAGGTATCCACTAAAAGATTAACTTAGTTGAAACAATAGTGATATTCTATGCTATAGCTTTTATTTAGAAATCGCTTAATATTTTATTGAAGTTTAGGACCTTTTGCTCTCAATCAAGAGAAATAAGTGATTAGTCATAGACAGTTCTGTATTCAAGTACCGATTTCAGCAATCGAAATGTCTAGAAGTCTACAGAAACTATGAGACTGAATTCGATGTAAGTCGATTAACCCAGCCTGTTTTTGAATCAAGACTGTCAGAAATCGTCCGCATATTATTTTCAAATTACTGTACAAAGTGTTATGTTTTTCGATTCAATTTATGTATAATGCATGATTCCTAACACCTGACTGGCTAAGTTATGCAAAGTAAGAAAGGTGAATATGAATGGTATCGTTAAAGGTTAAATAGTGCGAACCATTCAAGAAGCACTTATAATCATGCAATTATGATAAGATTAAACTTTGCGTTCAGTGCAAAAAATAGCTTCTTCTAAACGTGTTTAGGCTAAATGACCATTAATTTGCAATTGTTATCATTAAAAGCTGGAACATACGTTGGATAATTTGAAATAACATTTGATTTTGCTTAATTTACTATCAATTAATATCCAGTCTGGTTATGATTATCGATCATTAACTATTTATCACTGAATGCATTTGCAAATACGCCACAGTTGCAATGAAGTTCAGTATAAATCTCAGTGACTTTATGGATGACGTTTTGAGCGGACGGTATTGGCTTTGAGTCCCAGAGTGAACGTCAACTCTGGGATCCAGGTGAATCTGGCTCATGAATCCCGAACAGGACTAACTGCGCACCTTGGACTCCTCTATAAACCACAAAACAAATATGTTTATAATGAATATGACTTATTGGCAATCTAGTGTCTCCTTTTTCTTTCCAAGCTCCTTCGATTCGTGTTGTCACATGACAATTAAATATTAAGTATTCTAGAACTATCAACCAAAGGAACTATAAAAAACCTGTAGAAAAATTCAATTCTGGACTCTTTTTATAATCCAGGTAACCTATTCATTAATGAATGACCGTTTATTTATTCCAATTCAATAGTACGTTCAGAATTGATGATCAATAAACTTATCAGCTTGTTAGCGGGTTTGTTGTTATGTTCAAAATTAAGTGGGTAAATAACTTTCTGTAGTCTTATTGGTTTTTATTCGACTTGAAAAACTCAAATGAGTTAATAAATAATCTTAACAGTTGTTTAAAAGCTCGCATCTAAAAATACTTCATGGAGTTGAGTTAAAATGAACTACCTTAGAGGTGAAATCACAAGCTTTATAAATGATAATTAACTTTAAACGAATAACCAACTAAATTATTAAGGTGTAAAGCAATATTTCTCTTCTGTCATAGCTTATTTTATCAGCTTTTTTCGTTATTCATAAGATTATTTCACTACATTGATGAACTCTTTTCGATAGTCCAACCTAACACAGTTCACTTAGATTTCATTTGTCAGTGAACATCAATATCGTTTGATTTTTCAAAACATATATCTAGTTATATATCTTTTTGTCAGGTCAGAAATGTTGTCTAAATGTCATTTTTACTCTGACTTCAGTATACATCATATCCGAATAAACATTCTCTCAATTGACTGGGTATGATTTATGCATCATAAAGTATGAGGAAAACAAAATTCAACATACTTATTGTTGTTTAAATCGATAGGTGACTCAGTTTTATTATTTGGAAATTGTTTTTGGAAATTTCACAAGCTTGTAAACAAGTGAACATAACCTCGTAAAGCTTATTCAATTACTAGGAGGGAATGGTTTGGGCTTTTTTTTGTAGACTAATGATAGTAACACAGTATAGGTTAGATAAAATACTTAGAACCGAAATGTTGTTGATTTCAGAAAATTAAGGATTTCCAGTTTTAGAAAATGTTGGACAATTACTAGAACTGGTGGGATCAAACTGTGACAACTTACACTTGACACATACTTGACTGGTAAATATCAATATAATTTTGAAATGCAACTCTACACAGTGAAAAAGATAGTTGATGATCACGTGTTAGACTGTAGCCAGTGAAAGTGATTTCCGATCAAAATTTTATTCGTTAAAATCGAATATTTTATTGAGATCAAGCACTGATTGGTTAATTATGTAATTTAGATAAATTTGAATAAACCATTCCAATTAGGGTTCGTTGATTTGCGTGTACTCGTGCTTGTGCAATTGTTATTTTTTCGTTAGAGTTGATTGGTTACAATCCCTATTGGTATACACAATTCAAATATTAGGCTTGTGATTTGTATGCATTTGAAGTTTGTGTATATAGTATGGCGTGTTTAATACGTACAGTTTTTCCCAGAAAAGTGGACAATGGCAATGGATTATACTCGCCTACTGTGAATGCTAACACGCCTTTAGAAGAAATCCCAATGGAAGAGGTGAGTGTAAACTTTCATTCATAGTTGTAGAAACGGTGTTAGATTATGTAGTTTATTTTCATACATACATTTTCATATTGACTGGTTTTTCACTGATAGAATAAATAAATTCTACAGTGAATTTATACTGCTAGCTTATAAGAATTTCAAAATATACTGACTATATTTTATGATAACTTATCGTTTGACATTGGTGTCCACTAAAGACATTGATTTTTTACCTCAATCTCAGTCAGTTTGATAATGAATATATATGCAAACAGACTTATATACACATTTAGTTCCATTCTTTTAAGGTAATTTGTCATCTTAGCACCAAAAACATAGAATCCTAAAGAGAATGTTTGTCATCTAAAAGTTGATGTGCAACGCTTGTTTCACCAATAAAGTAGTATACAGTAAAGAGGTGAGGTTAGTTAAGTATTTAGCATACTCTATGGATGGGCCAAACCATTGTATGGATAATTATAGTTTGGTCGATAACTACCAACTCTCATCATTTAAGATAATGGCGGTAAAACTAAATAATTTTCAAAAGAAGACTTTATACTCAGTGATGTATTTTATACTAACAGGTCTACTTGTAAATCTTCAAAAATTACAGGTACTCAGGAATGTGTGGCTTAAAATTCCTGTTTGAATGCAGTGAAACCACTCAGTGAATAATTTGAATATTAGACTAAGAAATTAAGTCAATCAGATTGTAATGCTAAATATACTGAATTAGCTGGATCCCTGTTGGGAATAGGGTTATTAGCCAAATAACTTCACAATAGTTTACTGCACTAGGTGTAATTAGACAGTCAGAGGAATGTCTTAAAATTAATTAGATCAAAACAACTAATTTGATTACTTCAACAGTATGAAACTATATCAACGATATTGGACGAGTTATCGGTCAATCAGAGAAAGGTGTTTTGTTATAAAATAATTTATAATTTAAGAAGAAAAACAATATAATTAGGATGGATAAACAGTTTTGATATGACTAATCAGACTTTATATTGTTTATAATTGCAAACAGATAGATTAGGATTACTAATTATGTTTGAGGGTTACGCTTAAGAATCGGAAATGGGAGTTGAGGTTTATGGTGAGTCGGAAAGTTCCTTGTGGCTATAAAGAAAAAAAACAAATTTTATGGACTCTTAAGTTATTTAGATAAATCCACAAATCATGTTTAAATGCATTTCGAAATCTGTACATTTTATTAGTTTTCAAAATGAAACTGAGAAATCCCTTATCGTCATTTAATGAATCTCTTTAATTCACTCGTTTTCTCGGATATTTATGTGATTCTCGATTTCGCTTACTTACCACATAGCGCTTAACAAGGCACAAGCTATCCGTCATTGAGTTTTATATTGAATTTAAAAGCAAATAACCTCAGTCGGTTTATTTCTTTTCATTTTTCTTGAGTATAGAGATGACGGTTGTTTACTCGTGGTCGTTTGTACTTCAGACAATTAACGAGCTAAGTAGGTCTTCGGATTTAGTTCCACCACGTCTTCGCGTTTTCGCCTTTTTTGGCATATGCCTCTGCTAAAACAAATTTGTTTGAATATGTACTGTGTACTGCAATAATTTTAGAAACAGGAGATCTATCTTTTCGACACCTAGTAACTTTTCTCATTCAAAAAATGAATGTATCACTTTTAGCTACAAGGTACATACTGGCGTTGTAACACAAAGTTACATATGCGAATAGTGAACAATAGGATGATTCTAAAGGAATTGTGGCAAGTCTCTGAAACGCATTGTTTACTTTCATAAAACCAGTCAACATGGCTATCCGAAAAATCAGAATTAACATAGTAGCAAGACCAGAAAACACACCATCTGAAGCATTGAAATCAAACATACAAGTAACCACAACAATGCTTCACAATTTCTCTAGAGACATTTGGGAGGAATAACAAACACCGGAAGACCAGGATGAAGGACACCCAATCAAGATAACAAAGAAAGCAGATCATAACAAGTGAGAGAACTGCAAAGGCATCTTCTACTATCTCTATACCGCGAGAACTCTTCAACGGAGTATTGCTGAACCGAGTAAAAAATTCCGTAGATGTTCAGCTTCCAGATCAACAGGCCAGATTTCATAAGGATCGATATTGCACGACTAATTCGCCACAATATTCTTTATTGTTACACAACCGGTTGCGCAGAACTCATCAACTCACATCAACTTCCCTGACTAAGAGAGACCGTTTGAGTACTATTAATATTGGAATATTATGTATCATCTTCGACTCTATAGTGTACCTGAGAAGATAGTCAACATCACACGGAATCCTTACGATGTACTACACTGCAAAATGATACATGGAGAACAGCTCACTGACTCATTCCGAACTAGTTCTTCTGTCACACACACCACGAACAAAAGTGGTTGAAGATGGCTAATGTATCAGTAGTCTCCGCAGCAGTATGTCTCAACATACATAAGGGAAAAGCGATGTCCGTAGATACAACACAGTGAGAGCCATCCAAATCATAGTTACTGGAGCAGTTCTGGAGGATGTGGAAACTTTCACGTATGTGAATCAAGTGGGATCTGATGTATACGTGGAGACACAAATCGGCAAGTCAAGCAAAGCATTCCTAAAATTGAGCAACATCTGGAACTCAAAACAACTGTCAGCCAACACTGGATTCTCAATTTCCAATACATACATCAAAACAGGTGTGATGTGTGGAGCTGAAACTTGCACAACTACTGAAATCATCATCCAAGAGATACAGGTCTTTGTTGTCAGACGTCTACGTAGGATACTGTGGATCCGTTGGCCAGACATCACGAGCAGCAACCTGCTGTGTGAGAGAACAAATCAGATTTCAGCTGAGCAAGAAATCAGGAAAAACTGCTGGACGTAGGTGGAACACATATTGAGGAAATCACCCAGCTGCATCACGGGGCAACCCCCAACTCGGAATCCTCAAGACAAAGGGAAACGAGGTAGACGAAAGAACACACCTAGAATTGGAGGCAGATGTGTAAAGAATGAACAGCGATCGGGAGCTAATGGAAAGGAGAGTCCAGGACAAATTTGGTTTTAGAACCTGGTTGGGGACCTATACTTGACTAAAGGTATCAGTCAATGATCGATTAGCTGTACTAAAAACCAAGCATCTGTTCGAAATTCATCGAGATAAAATTAAATTATTGGTCTTTTGCCACTGATTGATCTCAATTAAAAAGCGTAAAACATTTGAGGAAACCAACGTTATGAATATTCACTAAATACTTTGACATTGCCCAGCACCCAAATACAAATTGATCTCTGGATGAATGAAACATTTTTCCACTATCTGTTTTCGTAGTTTTACCAATTTCAGTAACCATTATACCTAGGTGACACATTCCAGATCGTGTAGATATTTTAAAGTTCCCCCGTTTGTAAAAATCGAAGATAATGTAGTGCCTCCACTTATATTCCAGTTCGCTTACATCTAACTTGGTTAAGCCCTTTCGATTAATTTATTTAACCAAGCCATTTGTATAGCAACAACTCATATGTACCATTGGTATTTTTTATTATCTGGTTTATATGAGCTTGTACGACTGAGCATTGTTTACGCCTACGCGCTTACTCATCCTTTTCGCTTTAATGTTAATATCTTAATATCCCCATGATCTCACATGATTTGTATTGCTTGGTTACATAAGTTAATCAAAAGGCTCAATCAAATTAAATATGAGCGAGCTGGAATATATGTGGAGGCACTACAATAGCACCAAAACGTTGTTTTATGATTGATGAGGTCCTATCAAACATTCCATCTAAATTAGCAGTACGATATATCATAGATTTCATTGTTAGCAGCGTTAAAACTATGCAGTGAACATGAGACAGTGTTACTGTTTGTCCAGCCTTTCCAGGGACAAATAGATCAACAGATTATCAAAAATAATCGATTTATTTCTAAATATCGCATACGGAATCAAAAAATTACTCAAGAAAATTACTAGTTTAAATCGTCGATTGTAATGGGTTGCGTCATAAACAATAAAGAAACAGTTGGATTATAAAACAACGTAAATACAGATGTCAGCTCAGTGGTCTGGAGGTTAGGCGTTCGTGCACGAGACCGACGGTCCTGGGTTCGAGTCCCGCCACTTGGGCTGTGAAAGTACACTGGTGGTGAGTCCCATACAAGTACAAAATGACCGACCTCTTATCTCGCTTTTCTAGTAATAGTCTAACATTGGTCGATTTATGATTTTATGTAAACTTCATCAATAATTAATAGAAAAACCCGGCAGAGACACCTCAGGAAATGACGTTTTAGGTCTTCTGCTGTTCGAGTTAAACGGTAGTAGTGAATGGAATGGATTTTCGCGTTGATGTCTTTCTAGTGCTCTTGTACGAGACAGTAATTAATTATGCAGAAGTTCGATGTAGATCACTAGTTTAATAGAATTCTAGGATGAAGATGCGCCGATCTACATGTAAAATAACAGTGTTTATAGAACGTTTATATAAGTTTATATGAGAAAACCTTTTGCATCCCCTGAGTGAATTCTAACGTATGAAATGAAAAAATGTAGTCCCTTTTAATATTTAGTAGAAATTATAAACCAATTAGGGGTCAATAAGCAAATGGACGTTCTGAACTTTCAGTTTTGAAAAACTCCTAATTATAGATTCGTCCTTGCTCACATGTACTGTCTCCTCAAAGCGATTTCTTCTAGGATAGATGAAACGATCGTGTGAGTGGCCATTGTTTACCAAATAATTCGGATGTCTTAAAATTGCTTCTGATTGCATACAATAAATAACTGAAATTGTCAACATTATGATCTTGAAGGGTTAAACAAATAATTTTCGTGTTGCGACTGTTCTTTTGTTGTTGATAAATTGGATTATCGTTGCAGAGAATAATCAATGACAGTCTGATTTAACGAAGACATTTTAAAATTCTCACATATATCACATCGAAATTCATCATGTTCATTGCATACACATACATACATACTTTATTCAACTTCACTAGTACAACAAAGTACACAAAGTCAGTAGTTATCAATTGATATCACTGCATCATCTTATGTTGTCAAAGTGTATAGATGTAAAAATGTTACATCAGTGCTGAAAATCACATTCTCATTCTTTCGAAGTAGTTGAGTAACCACATGGAATACAGTGAGTTAGCATAAACCAATCATCAAATAGTGATGCATTTTCCAATTAGTTCATTTGTAATCAATTTGACATGTTCTCCATGGTTATTATTGACAATATTAAAATATATGTAAATAAGGAGACCACATAGTTTTATTATTCATGCATTTGTGTAATTTACAATTGTGATCAGACTGTATTGTATGTGATGAGTAAATGGGTCAAAACAACAACAACAACCACAACAATAGAACAACAACAACAACCACAACAACATTTTTTTTTTACAAATGCCATGATTCATAAATGGAAAATAGTGTTTGTAGAATTTAGAAAATAACCCAAAGAATAGGTGTGTAATCTGACGCCAATGAAAAATAGTGAATGGAGTAAAGCGACTAGACTTTTACTATTTCTACATAGCTTATTTCAGAAAGAACGATGAAGTGGACAGCATTCAAGTGTAATAATTTGTATCAATAAAATACCCACCTAATCATTCATTATAGTCTGCAGGATAACAGTATATAGCAGTTAAATGTAAACTGATCAATGGCAAAACATAATCAGATATACTTTTGGTAATACTTTAGTACTTTGAGCATTACATTTTAAATCAATATGCAAACTGTGACGAGCAAAAGTTACATAGTGATGTTGGTTGATGATTGTGATGGTAATTAGGTTAGGTCACATACAACCAGACGAACAATTAACACTACGAATTAAATCTACTCAAATAAATATCGTTGTTTCAAAATTGTGCTTATTTGACATTTCATTCAATTCGTCCAGACTACAGTTATGTTAATCTCATATGATAGTTGTGCATTTAATATTCACTTACATTTAGGAATTATTTTCTAAATTCTACAAACACTATTTTCCATTTATGAATCATGGCATTTGTAAAAAAAAATGTTGTTGTGGTTGTTGTTGTTGTTTTGACCCATTTACTCATCACATACAATACAGTCTGATCACAATTGTAAATTACACAAATGCATGAATAATAAAACTATGTGGTCTCCTTATTTACATATATTTTAATATTGTCAATAATAACCATGGAGAACATGTCAAATTGATTACAAATGAACTAATTGGAAAATGCATCACTATTTGATGATTGGTTTATGCTAACTCACTGTATTCCATGTGGTTACTCAACTACTTCGAAAGAATGAGAATATGATTTTCAGCACTGATGTAACATTTTTACATCTATACACTTTGACAACATAAGATGATGCAGTGATGTCAATTGATAACTACTGACTTTGTGTACTTTGTTGTACTAGTGAAGTTGAATAAAGTATGTATGTATGTATGTGTATGCAATGAACATGATGAATTTCGATGTGATATATGTGAGAATTTTAAAATGTCTTCGTTAAATCTAATCTCCGCCAACTATTCAACCCAAATAACTAGAGACCTAGAAATGAGACTTCCGAGAAAAGATTCCACACATCATGTATTGGAAAGTATCATATAAATAAATCTCTTGAAAGTACACTAGTATTTTGCGTACTGATTAAATGACTTGCATTGTTAATCGACCTTAAGTGGTAACAGTTTACTTTTTGGAATGTTATTTCACCGATTATTTCTCTTCCATAATGTCCATTTACAGTTTCAATAGGTAAGTAGTCAACGATGAAATGAATGTTTTCCTTGTCCTAACAATATTATTTTCTTTAATGAACATTTAATCTAAATTGTTCATCTTTTTTTTTATGGCGATCACGTATCGTAACTATTGTTTGTGACAAAGATCGATCACGTACATTGTAAACAATCGCTTTGGAAATTTCACTTTAGTTACTAATACTAATGAAATTATTTATTAAAAAAATGTATCATGGTTAGGTGGTTAATGAATACTGTCATGTTATTGTTTGCCAAGACCTTATCTACTTAATGCTATGTATAATTCACTGCTTCTATTCATACCTTCCGCTCATCACAGTTCAACTTCACATTTGTCATGTTATGTTTATTGTGTTGGGCTAGAAATGATCTTGATATTCATGTTTTCATTTCATCAGGATTTGTGTGACGGAACAAACCAGTGTCTGCTAGTGATTTCTGTTTTAGTCAACTTGAAATTATGCTGATTTTGTGCCTAGCATCGTACTGAATAACAAACCTATTCTTCTGATTAATGGTTTTGTTTTCTGATATTCATTCAACTGAGAACTTAGTTAATTATTCAGTCTTGTGAACAGTCATCACTCAACCACATTGTATGATTGTGTTCATCTATCGATCAGCACTTAATTTATTCTCTGTAACAAATTCAAGCCTCATTTGTTTTGTTTTTTTCGAATCCTCTCATTGATATTTAGGACTGCGATGGATAAGCTAAGTGAATATAACTTGGTGGACTTTTGAGGCAAACATCACTAGGTTCAAGTCCCGGGTTGAAAATTGACTCTGGGATGTAGATACATCTAATTGACTAGTCCCAAGTAGAATGAAATGTATATCCTGGATTTTACTGCCAGACTACCCCATCCATCTGAGCTTACAAACATAAGCCTCGTTCATTTATTTATCAATCCTTGTCCACAACTATACTGTTGAAACTGTTTTCATGAGCAGTAACTTTATCAAGTCCCTGTGATGCTCTTAGTACTTTTTTTCAACATATGGACCGTTCTTTTCTCAGTTTGTGAATGAGAATGACAAACATCTTTCGATACTTCTTTGTCTGTTTACTTATTGTTGATGTTGTCTTAAGTTACGCCGATTATAAACTCTGCCCACGAATTTATTTAATATGTAAATTTAAATTAAAAATAATTTTTTAATTCATTCAGCTTTTCTGCTCGTTTCTTTTCTGTCAATGTTCCGCAACTAAAAAGAAACTAGTGTTATTTCATGCTTTACTGGAAAGATAATGGCTATTTAACTTGAAGATGGTTTTTGGTTGTTCATTTTGATCATCAGTGAAGTAGTTTTCAATTTCGGTTCAAAGTTCATTTGGTCTCATCAATATGAGTCATATTATGTCTGCTGTTTGGTTCAACAGACATGTTTAATATATTGATTGTCTAGTAATATGGTACTTTTACTTAATCGATTTGTTATGAGTTTTTTTTGTTCTGCATTATTTTGTTCTAGTCTGTCAGAAATATTTTAACTGAGGAGCAAATATATGATGACGAATGGTCAATTAGCAGAAACAGATTCTATTTTATTGTAAGTTTTTTCAAACATTTATTTATATGACTAATATATATTGTATTTGTAAAGCATCTTCATAGAGAAATTGTGGTTATTTATTAATATGATCAGTATGTTCAACAGTTCCTGCACCAGTTGCATTTCATCTCTTAAAATAAACAAAAATATGCAGGTTTATGGATCAAAGATTACTTAAAGTGAAGTAGTTCATATGGCTTTATAAACAGGAAAACTTTAGTTACATAAAATATACAGTTTTGAAAGTCACTGACCTTCCAAGCTGATCGTGTACGAACACTATTAGCTACCAGACAAGGGATTTCTCTAATTTCACCGAAATTAGTTGAGTGACCAACACCAATAATAGTATAACGTGATGTTTCGTCAAAGTTGCAAATCATTTCCAAAGTTCACATAGGATGTGGAATATGTAACATTAGAAGCTGTACTCTGTAAATTGTATCTCATTTTTTCCTGTTATTGATCTAATATGCAGTTGGTGTTGATGTTACCCATTAAGTATCAATGCGTTTTTACGCGTTTGAAATCATCAATCAATCACTGTTAGACCACCATTAGAAACCTGAAAGCTCTGGACGACCGTCAAGTCCTGGTATGGCACTCATCAGCAGTGCGCAGTCGCGACTCCTGCACCTCACAGGGTTCAAACCCGGGACATTCGGCATTGTGCGCGAATGCCTAACCATCGGACCACTGGGCAGGCATCAAATGGTGTTAATGTCTAACTCTGATTGATCTAGCGATTTTGTGCTACCTCACCCATTTGTCTTTGGTAGTTACTGCCTACACTCAACAGGGTTGAACTCCACTGGTCACGTCTTCTCACTAGAACTCCGAGAATTTCCTCACGAAGCTAGTCACTAGTGAGCACATTTTACGATATTTTCAATTAGAGTTATGGAGATTAGTGTTTTTACACATTTGAAATCACCAATCAATCACTGTTAATGCTGTCCAGTGCTTCCAGGTTTCTAATGGTGGTCTAACAATGATTGATTGATGATCTTAAATGTGTAAAAACACTAATCTCTATAACTCTAATTGAAAATATCAATGTATTGTTAAGCTATTGGGACATTTTATCATTTATTAATTTTCGTTTGGTAGCAATCAATGTTTTTTTTCTCGTTTAGTCAAGAACCCCAACTGAATAATTTATTCAAAATATTTTCATTATTGATCAGAACAATAACAAAGAACTTAAATATTCACTAGTACTTCAAGTTGGCAGATGTTCTAGTCTGCTAGTATGTAGACATTAGGCAGTAGCTCAGTGGTAGCGTCTAGGACTGCACAGCCGGGTAACGCTGATTCAAGTACCACAGAAGGGATCAGTTCCTTTATGGCTGCAGGCCTACCAACTAGCACAGAACTCAGTCCTAGGGTTTCCTACCTGATATATGCAAACACTTAGCGTCCCAACTTAGGGAATGGGCTGTCGAGTTACCTAGACTGATGACCCTAATGCAACTTGATCGATTGAATTCAGGCAACACCAAATTACCGGACAGACATTGATCATTACTTAATGACTGGTCACCTATAGACATAAAACAAACATACAAACTACTGCTTACTGGCAGCTGTTAATGAACAAGTTGTACTTCGTCATTGAGAAGTGCTTACCTGGTGTTATAACCTTTGGACATATAATTATTGACTTCATTATTAATTTATTGATCCGAATAACAAAGAATTTTAAGTAGACTAATAACAAGACTATTTTAACTTATTTATTTGTCTCCGTTCCGCCCAATGACTGACTATCTCATTAGTCAGTGAATACTCAATATTTACCTATCAAACATATAAAAAAGCCACAAGAGAACTCACAATAATGCTTTTGGGTCTATATTCACCAAAAAATGTTGGGTTCTAATTAAAAAATCTCTAAATTCTGCAGAACTTTATTTATGGTGTTGGCATTGAATGTTAGTACTTTATTCTTGGCTACAAAAATAATTTGTTATAGTTTCTGTCATTTCGAAAAAGTATTTCTCGTTATTCTCTTGTGGTGAATAAAAGTAATTTAATAATTGGTTTTTATTATAATCTCACTCGAGATTATATATATATATATAAGGGAATTAGAAGTAATCGGAGAGGTTAGGATTAGAATTTAATCGGAGAGGTTAGGATTAGAACAAAGAGATAAAAGGCATAAAATGATAATTTAGAGTTTTTTTCCTGCATACTTCTGGCTTTGTAAATGTAAGTAGTATCATTAAGCCCAACCAATAAAGAGGAACATGCTTCTATAATTGGTACTTCGAACAACTGACTTTTGTTGAATTAAATGGATTTTAGAGTGTAACTAACCAATTTTCAAACTTCTTATCTAACTAGACTTACGAATTTGTAACCTGTTTCGTTTAAACAACAGTTTATACTGGAAAATCTGCATTGTTTGTATTGTCGTTATACTGTTTTCATCTCATCTCTTGCACATACACACAGTGCTAGTCGGTTAGATTCCTTAAACTATTAGCCTGTATCAAATTTATATAAAATGGATGAAATGTGACTATAAAATTTGTGATATAACGGCTAATATACAGGAAATTCTCACAGGATGCGCATATGCCAACTAAGATTCATTGAAATTCAGTCAAAAATATCCACCATAATCTGAAACTCATCACAAGTTAAATGGCCAATACCATTTTCCAATTATTTCTGTAGAATTCATCATCTTTATTGATGGATGTTTAATATGCATTATTCAAGAGAGTGCCTAACACGATGAATATATAAGTATAATGGTGTGAATTCGCTATGAGTGACACAATCATATTGAATTAAATCTATTTTATGAAATAAAATATTAAGGAAATGAGAGATTTATCGGTCAAATATAATTTAATTATTTGATTGACAGAAACACATGATTGTATACTATTCAGGATTTCGATAATCACTTTGCTATTATTTGCACTTTTAATTAAACTTTTCATTTGTTTGGCATTATTATTCAGTGAATATTAAGAGATGTTTTAAATCTGAGTTGAACAAGACTCATTTACCATGAACTGTTAGATAAATTCACTATCATACTTGAAGAGATTAGAACTAGTTTATTCGATTCTGCACAAATGAATGGTAGGAAACTAGTGTTGCTCGGAGTCTGAACGTATTTCATGAAAGCTTGTAATCCTATAAAATGAGGTTTTGATGATATTTGATTAATCCAAATGATGAGGAGGACAAATCGGTGAAAAATAGACATTTTTTACTTACTTACGCCTGTTACCCCCAATGGAGCATAAACCGCCGACCAGTTTCCTCCAGCCCACTCTGTCCTGGGCTTCCCTTCCCAGTTCTGTCCAATTTTTGATCATTTTTCTCATGTCTTTCTCTATTACTCAAAGTAATGTGTTTTTTAGCCTTTCTCTTTTCTTTTAACATTGAGGGTTCCAAGAAAGGGCTTGTATTGTGACGGAGTTGGGTGCTTTCCACGGTGTGTCCTATCCACTTCCACCCCTTATTACTGATTTCCTCCTCCTACGGATTCTGTAGATCGTTGGTGATAATGTTTGGCCAACGGATCCGAAGTATTTTGCATAGACAACTTTTAGTGAATGTTTGAATCTTCTGGATAATGGCTCCATATAGTAGAACTGTCTTGACATTTGTGTTGAAAATCTTGATTTTTGCGTTGAATGATATTTATTTGTAGTTCCAGATATTTTTCAACTGTGGAAATTCAGCCCTTGATTTGCCGATCCGTGCCCTCACATCTGCATTGGATCCACCTTTCTCGTCGATGATGCTGCCCAGATATGTAAAGGTGTTAACGTCCTCCGAGGCATCTCCATCAAGAGTGATTTGGTTGGTGCATGTTGTGTTGCATCAGAGAATTTTGCTTTTCCCTTTATGTGTGTTGAGACCTACTGCTGCAGAGACTGCTGCTACACTGATCATCTTCTTTTGCATTTGTTGTTGCGTGTGTGATAGAAGAGCCAGGTTATCTGCGAAGTCCAGATCGTCCATCTGCGTCGTAGCTGTCCACTGAATACCGTGCTTCCCTCCAGATGTTGACGTGTTCATAATGCAGTCGATGACCAGGAGAAAGAGAAAGGGTGAGAGTAAGCAACTTTGCCGGATACCGGTCTTCACCTCGAAAGAGTCTGTTAGCTGACCTCCGTGAACGATTTTGCAGTTGAATCCATCATAAGAGTTCCGTATGATGTTAACTATTTTCTCAGACACACTGTAGTGTCGAAGAAGCCTCCACAGTGTTTTCCTATCCACGCTATCGAATGCTTTCTCGTAGTCGATGACGTTGATGTAGAGTGGTGAGTTCCATTCGATTGATTGTTCCACAATGATCCGTAATGTAGTAATTTGGTCAGTACACGATCGATCCTTACGAAATCCGGCCTGTTGATCTCGAAGTTGGGCGTCTACGAAGTCCTTCATTCTGTTCAACAATACCCTGTTGAAGACTTTGCCTGGTATTCTAAAAGAAGAGTGATGCCTCTGTAGTTCTCACACTTGCTGAGATCGCCTTTCTTTGGTATTTTGATCAGGTATCCTTCTTTCCACCTCGTCGGTACTTATTCTTCCCCCCAAATCTTGTTGAAGAGAATTTGGAGTATTTTTGCAGTAGTTGCCACATCTGCTTTCATTGCCTCTGCTGGAATGCTATATGGTCCCTCTGCTTTGCCGCTTTTGATTTGTTTGATGACCACGCTAATCTATTCAACTGTTGGCGGGCGAGGTCCGTAGATACTGATTCGGTGTTGAGTGGGTTCAGTGGAGCTGGTCGATTCAAGAGTTCCTGAAAGTGCTCTACCCACCTATTTCGCTGTTCGTCAGTGTTGCTGATTACTTTGCCTTCCTTGCTTTTCACTGGTCATTCTGGTTTACGATAGTTTCCGGCGAGCTTCTTTGTTGTTTCGTACAGTTGTCTCAAGTTTCCGTCTCTTGCAGCCTTTTCCGCCGTCATTGGTAGATCTTCCACTTATTTTCGTTTGTCAGCCCTGATGCTCTTCTTCACTTCCCTGTTTGCTTCTGTGTATTCAGCTTGTGCCTTAACTTTCTCTGCTCTTTTTCGGCTGACGTCGATTGCTGCCCTCTTGTTCCTCCTTTCTTCAATTTTTTCAAGAGTATCAACAGAGATCCATTCTTTATGATGGTAATTCTTGTGACCCAGAACTTCGTGACATGTTGAAGTGATTGCCTCCTTAATTGTTCTCCGATGTTGCTTTCTCTCCATTGAGTAGATCCTGAAAGCCCTGAAACATATTGGTGAGGGCTATCTTGAATTCGTTGAGTTTTACAGTATGCCGAACAAAGGCTGTATTAAACTTGTGTGATTTTGTCTGCCCCGTTGTCCAGTGCTTGTTTATTTTCATTTTCATTTTGGCGATCAGCAAGTGGTGATCTGAGACTGTATCGGCTCCTCTCTTGGTTCTCACATCTTCCATCGTTCTTCTGAACGTTTTGTTGATACAGATATGGTCAATTTGGTTTTGAGTAGTGTGGTCCGGTGAAATCCATGTGGCTTTGTGTATGCGTTTGTGTGGGAATATTGTGCCAGCGATGACCAGTTTGTTGAAGGCACATAGGTTTGCAAATCTCTCACAGTTTTCGTTCATTTCTCCCAGTCCATGTCGTCCCATGATATCTTCATATCCAGTGTTGTCCATACCAACCTTGCCATTTAGGTCTCCCATAAGCATTGTTAAGTCGTTTATCAGGCGTTTCTAGATGATTGACTGTAGCCTCTCTTGGAATCGATCTTAAGCGTCTTTATTGTAGTCGTTGGTGACGTCCATTGTAATACCTGCTCTATTTGTTTTGGATGATGCTTTGATGATCCTGGGTCTATGAGATTCACATCCTATCAGTGCCTTTTGTGCTTCTCTAGACAGTATCAGTGCAACTCGTTGCATGTGTGAGACATTTTCTCCTTCACGGCTGGAGTACAACAGCAGCTCTCGTGAAGCTAGTCTCAGTTGTCCAACTTGCGTCCAATGCTTTTCACTGATTCCATGCACCTTCAGGTTGTATCTTTTCATCTTTTCAGGAATTTGTAACAGTCTCCCGGTCTTCCACATTGTTTGAATATCCAATGTACCTAAAAGAATGGTTGCTCTAGTTGTGAGAAGGGGCATAGGCTTTGTAACGTTCGAAGGAACTCAGCTTTCATCATGAGACGTCATAACTCTTCTGGAAGAAGACCTTCTAACTCACAAGGAACAATGAAAATGATTTTAATTATGTTTTCTGGTTAGCTTTTTTTGGCGAGTTAGGGCACATTTCACATATGCAATACAACCAAACGAATAACTTTTTAATAGTTTCACTCTGATTTAATATTCATTTTCTCGACAGGAAATACCGGGTCATATTGTACGCCATAACAGTTTAAATAGACGAAAATACGAACACAAATGTTCCTTAGCTAATTTGGTAAATTTACGAGTTCTTACTCACTTCGACATGTGATTAAATATGACTCATTGTATTCTACTGACATTGTTTATAATTAGATCCAGTTGCATTCTTCTGATTTATTTGATAGTTGATAGCCTAGTGGATCATATGCAGTCCTAAGGTCTTCCTATAAGAGATAGACACAAATGTGAGGGAGTTTTTTGTAAGTGAATTGCTCACATAGCAAAAGTCACTATCTGTATGTTTCTATGAGCCTGATAATCTGGGAATGTACATCATTTGTACACATTATGATTTGACATTTTGAAATAAAGCTTCCACATAGTCTCAGTCTGTTCTCTGAATAGATGGTTGGTCTAATGTGTAGGACTTGATAGCGACTGGGTTGGATCTCAGAGCATAATATTAGTCTACGTATATGAGACATTTCCGAAGCGAAAGTAACCTGCCCTACGTGCAGTTTTCTCGGGTTTCGTTTAAATCATAGGATAGTGCTAACTGACATATTCGTTTATATATGCATATATTATTTGTGTAAAACTGATCTGAATAGTTGTGTTCATAAATCAAAAGAAACGGAAAAAAAAATGGAAATAGACAGAGAGGAAAGTTTATTTAGATATTGATTTAAACTTAAAGTTCAAGGTTATCTATGGATTTTCATTCTATCAAAATTAATTGACTTTTATAGGCTTTTCTGTTGGTAGACGCAGTGTAACAGCTAAATTCATTTCGACTGGTATGATACTTGCCATAATTTTTCGCTGAATTCCATTTCTGGAAATTTCTATTCTGTGACTTTTCACGTCAGATTGGAAATGAAGGAAACAAAAAAACATTTTTCTTTCTATTTTGGCTCTCATCAGTTGGTTACTATGATAAAAGGCGGAGGTCAACACAACTTCGCTTCTAGTCATCGGTAGAAATTTATCTTCTGAATGGCATAGACGGCTTATTCAGTATTCTTATCAGATATCCAAATATTGTATTAATTTTAATCATTTCGGTTCAATCTGTTGGTACGATATTCTCGTTAGGGTGATGATCTTTATTCAATATTTCCAAACATTTTATACCAATTTGTTAATAGTAAAGTTTCATCACAGGGAGACGATAAAAAAACACTCATATCTTCTTGATATATTTTTTCCTACTTATTTTCAAATTTAGGTTCAATTTTCTGTATCCGATTCATATAAGATGGAACGTATCCTTGACAAACTAGCATATTTCAATATTGGAAAAACACTTGATTCATCAATTATGTAAGTGACTTCGATTGGTCTGCTTTACTATAATCTACCTATATTGAAACCATGTAGAAAATTTGTAACTTATGTCGATTTTTATGGTAATATATGTTGAGTTTACTGAGCTAGATAGTTTAACTGTGGTTCGTTCATTCCTATTCTGAAAAATATAATCGGCATTTCTTTCAAATAGCTGTGGATATACTGAGTGTTCCACAGGTGTCAAGCCGTAGGTATGTTCCGACGACACTGTTCCTGACTTTTGTTTTTAGAGATTTTTATATCTCTGTTTGTGAATTTTGTTCCCTCTAGCTGGTTTGTTTTATTCACCTCTTACAAATTGCATAACTCAGTGACATCTAATGATGCTACACAGACTGGATCATTTTCATGCTCATACTTGTTTACGAGTCCATTTCACATAGACTCGAAGTTTAGCACGTATAAATGACCAGTAAAAGAAATATACTATGAAATCATCATATACTTTTCGTGTAGTTTCTTCCTTGCAAATTTCTTTGCTCAGCTTATGTTTGATACGTGTGAGAAGTATTTTTCATATATCGGTAATATAAGAATGAGTAGAGGGACATGCGGTTCCAGTTAGGCCTTTTTAACACATGGTAAGAGGTTTTATATTTGGCTGTCTTATCAACGCTTATAAAAAATAGTTCCAGACGATTCGTATACAAAGACTTTTCATTTCTTAAAGTCTGTTATATTACTTCCGTGATACTAATTCAACATTTATTCTTAATTAATGTCACATATTGTCTGGTCCTGATCGAATATTACCAGTCAAGTGGCACTGGTGCCTCTAGTATAAATGACTGGAAATCTCCGTACACCTTGAATTTCAGTGGTTGAAGAGAATTGGTCGAACACTCTGAACCTACTATTCGTCGTTGGTTGGACTCGATGAAAAGATATCTCTGTGATATCTGCACCGTGTTATGAACTTTTAAGCTAATCTGATGAAATACACTTCAATAAAACGAAATTTAGAATCCAATATTATCCGTAGGTATGGATTAGGAATGAATATCACTTTAATTTGCAGGATCGAATCAAATAGTGATTTCAGGTATTTCATCTCAACCAATATGAATCATGATGAGATACCTGATGTGTTATGAACGATGTGTCTAATGATTGATGAATAAAATTTTCGATCGTCAGAATGCATGAGTGAATAGCTAAGCGATAGATAAACACAATGATATGATGTGACCGAGTAATGGCTACTCAAGAGACCGAATAATTCTCCACCATCTCAGAATAATTCATCCGAATGATTGGAAACCGAAAATAAGATCACTAACCAGATGAATAGATATTCTTATGTGATAAAATAATTTGCTGATGTACAAAATGCGAAAACAAAATAAGCATGATAAAATGTGCTAGATGATTGGCAGAAATTAATTTGTAGGTCACTAATCGTCCGATCAATTAAAGCGTGACTGTTAGACTTAATTTTTAGGCATCGTAGTAAAATAATGTATTTAATAATTTAAGTATGAATAAATAAGCAAATCGACATTATCACATCTCCTGTAAAAGCTGGACATTGGCAAAGTTAATGCAGGCTATTCATCTAACTACATAGGCTTTATGTGAAATATTAATAAAAATGCATTTCCTATGACTAAAGTTTGCTTTTATATCATACTGGTATGCAACTTCCTTTTTGGCTGTTGTTGACAGATTGCACAAAAATGCACAATTTTCCATCAACTGATTATAACAATGAACTGCTTAATTTATCATTCTGTTATAGGGTTACGGAGCCCACGATAAATGTTCAAAAACGTAATAAGTAAGTAATATGTGAGCATATAACATAACTTGTCAATGGTATTAAAAATTATTGAAAAAATTTTTAATGACTGATGTTGATTGCACTATATATTTTGTATAATCACCATATATACATAAATGTTAGTGAATGAGCCTAAATAATTTAAGCGATCAATGAACACAGTGATATTAAATGAATGGAATTGTAATAAGAAGGGACAAGAATGGTTTCGACGGTTGTGCAAGTTTCAACTCCACACATCACACCTGTTTTGATGTATGCAGTGGAAGTTGAGACTTTAGTGTTGGCTGACAGTCGTTTTGAGTTCCAGATGTTGCTCAATTTTAGGAATGCTTTGCGTGCCTTACCGACTTGTGTCTCCACACATACATCAGATCCCACTTGATTCACATACGTGAAAGTTTCCACATCTTCCAGAACTGCTCCAGTAACTATGATTTGGATGGTTCTCACTGTGTTGTATCTACGGACATCGCTTTTCCCTTATGTATGTTGAGACATACTGCTGCGGAGACTACTGATACATTAGCCATCTTCAACCACTTTTGTTGGTGGTGTGTGGGACAGAAGAACTAGTTCGGAATGAGTCAGTGAGCTGTTCTCCATGTATCATTTTGCAGTGTAGTACATCTTAAGGATTCCGTGTGATGTTGACTATCTTCCCAGGTACACTATAGAGTCGAAGATGATACATAATATTCCAATATTAATAGTACTCAAATGGTCTCTCTTGGTCAGGGATCTTGATGTGAGGTGAGGAGTTCAGTGCAACCGATGGCCTAACAATGATGAATAATGTGGCGAACTAGTCGTGCAATATCGATCCTCATGGAATCTGACCTGTTGATCTGGAAGTTGGACATCTACGAAATTTTTCATTCTTTGCAACAACACTCCGTCGAAAACCTTTCGTGGTATCGGGATAGTAGAGTGATGCATTTATAGTTCTTGTTTCTTTGTTTTCTTGATTGGGTGTCCTTCATCCTGGTTTTCCGGTGTTTGTTATTCCTCCCAAATGTCTCTGGAAAGAGTGTGGAGCATTGTTGTGGTTGCTTGTATGTTTGAATTCAGTGCTTCAGCTGATGTGTTTTCTGGTCCTGCTACTTTGCCAATTCTGATTTTTCGGATGGTTATGTTGACTGGTTTTATGAAAGTAAACAATGGGTTTCAGAGACTTGCCACGATTCCTTTAGAATCATCCTATTGTTCACTATTCGAATATGTACCTTAGTGTTACAACGCCAGCATGTACCTTGTAGCTAAAAGTGATACATTCATTTTATGACACCACTTGAAGTAAACAATCCCGATGACAGTTCGCCATAAGCTCTCACTCGAACAGTGGTGTTCGAGTAGAGAGCTTAAATAAGGTTAATGTACGTCTTTGGTACACCTTTTAATGACAGACACTGCCACAGAACCTCACGATCCACTGAGTCAAAAGCCGCCTTAAGGTTCAGGAAGACAACTATTGTAGGACGTCTAAATGTGTGTCCGTGTTCCAGGACCTGTCTTAGTGTGAATATGTGGTCCATACAGCCACGTCCAGGTTTGAAACCAGACTGGTTTTCTCGAGTTTGCTCTTCACGAGCTCTAGTTAGACGTCTAAGTATAATGGAGGCTAACAATTTAGAAACTATATTAGTTAGACTTATTCCCCTGTGATTGTCACACGAGGAATTTTGTCCTTTGTTATAGATTGGGACAATCAGTGATTGAGACCAGTCGGATGGGATTATGTCCAGTTCCCATATTCTACCTAAGATCTCATTCAACCTAGCTGCTAAAACTGGACCACTATCCTTAAAAATCTCAGAAGTCAATTTTTTTAGTCATATGTACCTAACAGTGACAAAATACAATCAACGTCATCAAACCAGAAATAATAATCTCTGTTATTCATCTAATTAAATTGAGACGTACATTATAATGCGTTCAAAGTAACTATGTAATAAACTGTAAATCGCTTTCATTTGATTAGATAATTTGTATGTTAATTGGGATTCAGTTGATGGACTAGTGTTTTTGTTTCAAAATGTATAAAATGTAAACTATGCAGAAGAGGAAGCAGTGAATTTTAAATGTGATTCGGTTTTTATAATGAAATGGAATTCTGTCAAATATGTGGAAATTATCATAGATTCTTATATTGTGCACTGTTTATGATGTTGCTCAGCGGTATTTAAATTACTGCAATAAAACTTATTGTTTACTTATTCGAATACAAATGAATTAAGATCAGCAGTTTATATGGACACTAATAATATGATTTAATAAATGTGTTAATATTGTTTACTTTTTACAACATTAGCGCTGATAAGGCGTGATAAAATTAGTGAAAGGCATGAATGCAAATAATGGTTAATGATTAGCGCATGGTTGAACGATAATAAAACTTGAAATCTGGTAGGATGAACAATTGAGCCAAGTATATATTAGATCAAATTGTGAAAATCACAACATATTTATAATGTAATTTAATAAGATATTTAGTATTTCACATTGAACATCTTCAAAAACTCGTCAATTTCACTTTCCCAAAAGACATAATTTTGGAAGCAGAAAACTAGATCAAAAACTCTTAACGGTTATGGAAAAAAGGGTCTGTTGTAATCTCTGAAGCATTGTGAACTTTCTGATGGCTGATATCAAGGATAGATTTTCTCAACTGAAATGTCAGGACATTCAAGTAATCACGTTCGAATGAATTCCATTACTGGTGGCATCAAAGCATGATCGCTTTTGTTAGTTGATGAAACCAAAGCAACATTATAAGCACATATGGATAGTGGCTAGAAGTAGAGTCCAAGACACACGTTTCGTCCTATCTGGGAATCGTCAGCTGGATGTATCTGTATCTTAGAGTTGATATTTACTCCGAAGCTCAAACCCAGTACCTTACTCTTCAAACGCTATTGCGTTATTTACTTAGCTATTGAGGCCAGATGGCCATTTGCTTGTGCAATGGGGTGAAGACCGATTTACTAGTATTGGTTGCTTGAATCTTCTTCCTAAACCGAAATTAATCAGTCTCTTTGGCACGCGTTCTGAGTTTCACTGGTAGCCTCTGCAAATAATGCTTGTAACCTAAAAGCAATATTGAGGCAATCTGCACAGGATTCACACATGCCAAAGAGACTGATCAACTGCAGTCCTAAACATCACCTGGAAGATTCAAACAACCAATACAAATCAAACAAAATCGATCGATATGTCGGGCAACAAATAAAACAAACCGACCTACTTGATGAAGCTCACTACATTTCCTTTATTGATTATTTCTTTCGACATTCATGTTGGTTTGAATAGAACAAACATGAATAAGTACAAAAGAGTGTTCGCATAATATCTACGATATTGCATTTTTATTATTCCTATGTTAATGTAGCACGAAAATGTGTCTTTTTATTGATCCGTCTCGATGAAAATAATAGTTTATTATAAGTCAGTTATGAATACTAATAAGACACCTTGCCATTGATATAAATATTTTAGAATTTAGTAGCATATATTGATGTTCGTATTTTGAGCGATCGTCAGTTATCTATTCATTTAATTTGTTATTTGTTTTCCGAAAATTATTGAACACTGATAGCATAGGCCATAAATCTAATTTCATTTAGAGAACAAGTACTAAATAAGGAATTTAATGAAAAGTGTCTTTTATTGATCTCCTAAATCTATATTTGTTATGACGAGGGTTTTGTAAAGTTTGTTCATTTTGAGGTTATTTTCTATTAGGGACTGATATTAGCTCCAAGAACAGTTGAAAAGACGGACTAACTATGAATAATAGCTGGAAGCCCTGGGTTTGATCCTTGGAAAGTGGATTTTGACCATTGTTTCCAAACTAGGGCTAAACAACTGTTTAGTGCACCTTGGTTTTCAGTGGTTTCCCACCATATTTCAGTTCGCAATGGAAACTAACGTAAAACCTGCTTTCACTTCAGTCAATATTCCACATCAGGATTAAAATGAATTTGGCAAATTTCCTGAACCAGTAATTATAACTGTCTTCAGAAAAGTCATTTTGTTATATATATTAACAATAGTAACTTAAAACCGCCCTCAACTACTGATTGTCCCACTAGTGTTGCTAGATAACTTTAACTGTTAAGTTCCGAGCCATAAGGTTTGAAATTAAGGCATGTTGTTACATGTACCTGACTTAAACTTGTTGATGGCGTCAACTGTCAATCTACTGCTTACTATTAATGAAGATAAGTTATTGGTGTTCAGTCCGAATATATTATTCCAGATGTATAGACAAAGTAAACATTCAATATGCCTACTTTGTTCCAAAGGTTTAGATTTCGTCACTAGCGCCACACAGTGCTCTTAATTAGCAGTTAATAACATAGGGTAACTTGAGTCAAAGTTGGTCACAGTGGACTAGTTGCATTCATTCTCCATCTTCCTCAGAAACTTAAATCATTTTTTATTCCTAACTTCCCACCTTTTCATTGCATTTATTCATTCTGAACTGTACTTCTTATAATAAAAAGTCTATTGTTTGGATCTTGGGAATTTTCGCTCTATCTTGGTATGAGGGGTGACAACATCTAGCACTGACCAACATTTACGCCAGAATTCAAACCATTATGACTGATTATCTAAACACAAACAATGCATACTTTAGAAAAAAAATTTTAAATAAGCAGGGATACAAATCGATAAGAGATTAATTGTTTGTGATGGTTCAAGTTTCTGCCTAAGGCGACTAAAAGAAAGCGTATATATTTTCTGCTTCGTTTAGTATTTTCGGGAAACCGGAAGTCTATAGGTTAGTTTCACTCAACCGTTCAGTGATAATGATAATAGTCATCATAGTTATTGTTGTAGTACAGGCAACAGTATCCCTAAACTCTTAATGACGGATTACTATCGTCCTAAATGATTTATCTTATCTAAAATATTTACCTTTTGTCATTTTCAGAGGCGAAAAATCGGGTGTTATATCTTATTCGGCAATTCAAAATTTTATTGGAACTTTGAAATCACGGTTGTGTGTAGCTCAGGTATATCATTTTTTAAATCAGATTATTGTTCATAATTTTGTAAATATAAGTTTTTTGGTAAATATATCAACGGTGAAATCAAAATTACTAAATTTGACATATTTGCTTAGTTTTGTTATGAATTCACTCACATTTTATGCTCACCTCTTATTATATTTACACTTTTGTTCACCTATCTAAACGGGCCGATGTTTGACTTTTCTGGTTAGAATAAAAACTGTCATAATGTGACTATTTATTCACGAGTAATTTAAAAAATCATTCTGAAAAAAACATCTTATTTTTATATAAACTAAGTAAAATGTTTTGTAATTATTATGCATAGCTAACAAGTCGGACATTTCGTTTGTAACTAAATTAATTCATGCACACAAATTTAAAAATTCTGAGAATATTTGTGATTAGAGAAACGATTGAAAATGATCACTGTTAAGTGTACAAGTGTTAGGGCGTGATTGCAAATCGCATGAACTATAATCAACATCCATAATACATTACGAGACGTAGTCATTGAGCAATAAGTGATTGGATAGTCAATTATGACTTCGTTATTCTTTGATACACTTTGATACACTGATCAGCTAATCTTTTTCTAGATATCCGAATTAAGGTGTCTATGTTGAATCCTCTCAAAGAAATTAGTAGAACTCAGACTCCATGTTAATGCGTATGTTTGATGACTCGTCATTACAACTGGGAATAAAATAAATTTGCAATTTGTGATGTAATAGTTTTTATCATCATTAGAAGCTGAAGAATTTCCTATTTAAATCAATTTACATGGTAATGATAATTTTTCAGTATGCATTTTTGGTTGTTTGTACAACGATCGTACAGTTAATGGAGAACTGCCTCATTTAACTTGTACAATGTAAAACGCTAATTTCTATGTTCCTATTGTGGAGTATTCATAAGTTAGGAGTGGAGGTAATGATTGTACTGCATAAGTTAAGTTTCATTGTCGACTGTATAGATTTCTGACTGTTATTGATTTTATCAGCACTTATTTTCCCCGAGAAACCTGTGGATAATCGTTTCATCCTAACGTCGACCCATCCATTGCCTTACCAGAATTTTAACCCAAGATATTCAGGTTTTAAGATGATCGCTTAACCTGTAGATTACTGAGTCGTTCAATCAGTTCTCGCTGTAGCGCATGCATCTAATGTTGTTTATGGTAACCACCAGACACTCGACATGACTGAGCTCTGCTAATTACGATTTCTCACTAAAACTCCGAGAACTACCCCTTGACATTAGTTATTGACGGGTACATATTTATAAGCTACCCTAGAGGTGTTGAACTTAACGTCTTCCATCAATGACTAATTTAGTTGTTCCTCATCTTACTCGTGTAGGGATTTATAAAAAACTGTTTGCTATGAATGCTGTGTAACTATTAGATTTTTATGGAAACATTTTTATTTTTTATAGATAGAAACTACTCAAGGATTAACTAATGGCTTAAGTTGCAGTCCAAAGATATTATTCTAGATTCCCCTGTATTAATCGCCTAACGTTCGACTAACTAAGTATTTTGTTACAGCGTACTCAGCATTGCCTATTCAAAGGAGACTTAAGCAAGTTATAAAAGGATTTATTTCACCAGTGTTTTTTTACATCAATTTCCTTCAGAAATCTTCTTGTTTTTCTTTATGAGATCACGATCTGAATTGTATCGTCTCATTCTGTCTATTAAGTAATTTACCGATGTCATATCAATCTTGCTAAGCTTAAAATCATTCGCTAAATCATTTCGGTTATGATCGATGATCACCGGGTAAAGAACTTGTTCTTTTTCATTTTTTTATTCGACTTATATTTTTTAGGTTTACAATGAGATTAACCAACGTGGATCGTTTGATATGAATTATTTATGTTTCCTATTGTGTGCAGCTGTTGTGGCGAATATAGCTCTAGTAACCAATTCCGCTGGTGTTGTATTTGCAAGTATGCTATTATCTCCTCTCATGGTAAGTATCCTGGACTACTGTATTAAATGATTGCAGTTGATGAAGACCAATCATTTAGAAGTGGAGAAAGCTTAATACATTTATAAATTTACGAATAGGACTTTTATGATAAAAATGGACTAGAGTTTTATAATTGTTAACCTTTATTGACGGAATCAGTTTCTACATCGAAAAAACTAACGTTTCACACACACTCTCTCTCTCTCTAATGTAACATTCAGCTTCATGATAAATCATTACAAAAATGTAACAATGTGTGTCATGGAGCTGAGAGTAATATACTATTTAAAAAAAACCAGATTTTAATCTATTCACATGATTTGATTATGGTGAAATTGTGAGAATTCTTTCTAGGAAGCTTAAATTCCCAGTTTTTAGCTAAATATGAATAATCATCAGTAGTAGAGTTAGAATTAACAGCTTACTTACTGGTCACCAAATTTTAACAAATCAAATGTTTTCTGGACAAAAATTTTTATTGAGAAAATGATTAAGATAATTGGTCAGATTAGTTTGGTTTCCAACTTTCAGTTTAATTATCAATTTAATGGTCACATCAATGCGAGTTCAGATAAAATAAAAAATTGGTCTGGATTTAAACTAGAATATTAATCAAAATTTCAACATAACTCCAATGTATTTCTTTTTATTAGAACAATTTTAATTCAAAATGCAGAATTTTCTCTGCTGGTTGATATTTGTTTGTTCATTGGTAACTCAATACATTGTCTTCCCTTAGACCCGACTCTAGCTGTTACCTTGACGTGGTGGTCGGGCTTGCCTATCGTGATGACATATGTTCCTGTAGATTCTACCATGCCAGGCAGGTGAATTGGGGAACGGTGAGACTAAAAGCAGCTAGTCAAGGTCTGAGGGCGAAATCCTACTGCTGACTGTAGAGAGATGTGACAGCAGTAAGGTGTTTCCCCCGGACAACCAGCATCTGCAGCGATTCTGCCTTTTCACAAGGAAGGAAGGCATTAGAATTGACAGTGGCGTCTCTGTGCTAATGCGGTATGGCAACCTGAACTGACGAACATAAGTAAAAAGTTCTACGTTGTAACTGACTGACTGATCTTTAGTTTCAAAATTGTTTAATGACTTTTGTTCTTTAAATTCAAAGGCTCTTTTTGAACCTGACTGTTTAATCATTTGTATTAGCTATTTAAGTCTCAGAGGGAACATCAACTGTAGGATGCAGGTACATTCAGCTGACGAGTTCCAAATAGGATGAAACGTGAGTCCTGGATTGCACTACTAGCCACTATCAGTCTCTGATTATACTGTCTGTTTCCCACTTCTTTGAACTGATACGGTATGCCGATTCAAACTAGTGAGAATTCATACTCAATGTGTTTGCGGGAATCTGTTGTGAAAAGAAAGAGGTTGGGTTTATTATTTTATTGATAAGGCTTAGAGGATGGATTGTCTAATTGGTAATTTTTTCTAATATCTTCGGTTGGTTAACCGTACACATTTTAGCAGTTGGGTTTTGTACTGGTAGAATTAAAGACGGATCAAATTTTCGATGTATATATATATATATATATATTATATAAATGTATATAAATATCCATTTTTTCTTTGCAAACTCGTCATGCATTATGATGAATTCACTATTGTTACTTTCAATGCAGCATTAGTTTATGCGTTTGATAAATTGAATTTCTGCTTTTGTTTACTATTTTCATAGTCTATCATGCTATCAAAAAAACAATGAATGGTTTCTTGATACTTTTCAATGCAGTATTTTTTTGTAAACTGAATTTGCATAATTCTGCTCACGTATACATTTGTACACAATGTGCAACTTCTGCAGAATCACAAATTTAGTTAGGTATATTGAACTGAAATAGTCTTAAGCACTGATTTTCAATTAATCAAAAATCCTATGTATTGTTTTCAATCTTCTCTTTCATTCAAGCGAAATTCTGAATGGTTTACTAGTATTAATGTTGTAATATAGTTGTTACTTGTCAGTAAGTTACCGATAATATCGCCGATTGTAGAATTGAGGTTGAATTTTAAAAAATGGAGAAATTTGTTGATTGTAAAGATTTAAGTGAAAGGAATGTCACTTAAGGGAAAAATAAATGCAACTTTACGTGTTTTACCTCTAACTGTTAAAGATTTTTACATTAACGTGATATCTATGAGTAATATTCCTTATCAACATATTAATAATCCATATTTAGTTAGTCCACTGAAGTTACGCATTACCAATCACGATTTGTCATTTCGACTGGTTGATATATTTGAGTGAATACGAAACATATTTAACTTTGAACAGTGTAAACTTGAAGTGTTAGCATATTTTCCTATTAGACTGAGTCATGTCGGTAGGTGTCGACTACCTGGTTGGGATCCACGAGATGTTAGTAATCGATGGTTAGAGACCCTGTATGACATGTCTCAAAACCGTTTTCAATGGCGCAGGTGCATTCATTCTTTGTGTTCTCTCAAATCCCAAACTTTTTAATTCTTCGTCACTTTATCTTTATCTTTTTAACTCTATTTCACTAGATTCTACTTCTTGAATAATATCTTCTAATCCTAACCTCTCCAACTACTGCCAATACCTCTAATACCTCTACTACTATGGGATTTGAATTGACAATTACATCTCTGTGCTAATGTGGTATGGCAACATGAACTGATGTACGTACGTACGAAGTTCTATGTTGCTATTGACTGATTGGTTGTTAGGATATTTAACCCCAATTAGATGGCATATATTTACAATATTCTGGGGTTTCTGTGGTTCTGGTATTACCATATAATAATCCGGGATTAAATATCCTTTCACCGGAGCTAAATGTGATCTATATTCTTTTAGTCAGTTTATCTACTAAATAGGAAGTCACTGAGTTGTCGAGAAGTTTCACTTGTCTTGAAATTCAGGCTTCAAATATAAACGATTGTAAGCAAAAAAAACAACATGGGAACTTCGAGTGATCCTCTAAAGTTTCATCTTTTTCAAAACCTTTTTGGTCTTAACATCAGTAAATTTCTCACTGAATTTCACTTGCACGATGCACAAATGCCTAGTTAAAATAAAGGTCTTAACCAATGACAAATTAGAATATAAACTGGTAAGTATGTTTGTTATCTATTCGGTTAAGTAGGTTTCGTTAGTTTGAAGATTGTAAGACACTGACCAGTGATGAAATTCATTAGATTGATTTCTGAAAAGTTTTAAAAGTACCTATTGTTTCACTGAACTAGTTTGTCAATAGAACCTGTTTAACGGAAGATGCGTGAAAAAATTAAATGAATATCAACGTTTTTGTGTTTTTCCATGTTTGCAACAATGACAACTTAGCAGTTGTTCTCTTAACAGCTGAAAAAAGTTATTTTGAATGGCATATATTTATACTTTGAGGTGTTAAACTGATTCTTACATATTTTCATCTGACATCCATTGTTTACCTTTTAAAAATTTATATTTGAATGAATAAATAAATAGATGAATCGTAGTCAAGTGATCGTCAAAGGTATGTATTATAACAGGTTTTCAAATTTCACAACTTTAATTCAAGCCCACCGCTCTCTCAATGTACATGCTGTTTTAATTTATGCTGTAGAATAACAAGAAACCAAATAACCTTTACTAACTTCAACTGTGAATCAGATGATCGCTACAAGTTACAAAAATGTTTATTTATTCAATTTTTGTTCACTGAAGTGCTTTATTTAGTTTGTTTTGTTTTTCTACGCAACATGTTCACATTTTTTTTTTCGATTTTCAATTTGTAACTAATAAACGGTTATTGTTCCTTGGATAATTTCAACTAATTTATTCCGTATCTATTCTTTTTCAAACTTACTTTCTTCTACAATAGTCTAATATTATCATAACTGATAATTAACTTTTCCAAACTGTTACTGGAACAATTGTGATTATTATTAATAATCTGGTTTGTTGGAATGCTTTAGTGATAATTAACCAATGTAACATACAGGGAGAGGAAACTATAGGACCTGACATAATTATCACCTATAATGATTGTGAACGGGCACTAATGGCGGAATCTCATAATTAGACAAAACAGAGGTTTAGTGTTTCCTGGTTTTCCAGTAATCATTCGGTAGTATGAAACTTCAAAGGTGATCAATTTGAACAGCTTTCTTTATTGATGTAATATCAGTCCAGTGTTGTGTTTAAATTTAGAACGGAAAGGAGAACAATATTTTGAACTATCACACTAAAAGAGCAAAACTCAAACCATTCAGCTATAGCATGTGTTAAATAAAAGAGGGAGGCCAAATAGTTTAGTTGTTAGCTTGATAGCTACTTGCTAGCTGGAATTATTACTTTTCTACCTAACTGAATGACAGGGAAAAAAGTCAGTGACCAGATTGCTGACTTCATTTTAGACGTAATACTCTGAAATTAAAATTTTTGTTTCTCTTACTTACTGTATGTCAGCCTAGTTTCTGTAAAGTTCCATCGACTTTAAATAAGAGATAAAGTACTAGTGGTATGGAAAGATGAGTAGTTTTTTGAATTATTTCACCGTAAACGACAGTTGGTCTACTTTGTACTGTTTAAGATCGGGTAACTGTTAAAAGGCTCTTATGAGCTGTTTCATATTGTAAACAGGAAGGGTAAGCCGAATTTAGGGAACAGTTAGCTGGGATTTATTTTAAAAAATTGCTCCTCTAAGAAGATGAGGAAATCTAATATCATAGTGTAAAGTATACACGTAGGATGATGAATAAAATGGTCAAAAAAGAGTTTGACGGTTTCTGAAGTCCTTTTTATGTTTGCCTTTATGTCTCTTGTTTAAGTGATAACAGACTTTTTCCAACATTTTTTCATGGAGTTATTGATCAGAATCAAGTATAACGAAGTAATCAAAATGTTTATTATATTCTCTCCAACAATTCGTAGTCTCTGTTATAGCTTTTCTACTCATATCTTATTGTTCCTGCTGTGATTAATGAGTAGTAAGTATCCGGCAAAATGCTGAAGTCCTAGTGATGTCTGGCATGGACCATCATGCTAGAAATTAGTCCTTTCTGAATATTCTAATAGTTTCCACTTGATAAGATTAAATGTTTTGATTAACTGTGGTATTTTACGTCTCAGCATGTGGTTTTCTTTTTAAAAAAACGTAGTTGCACTTTACCTGAAAACAAATATATCAAAACTAAGGGATTTGTGTTCGTCAAATTTATCCCAATCATACTATGAAAGAAGTGTGGTGTAATTTTTATAAGATATATGTATAAGACTGAATAAAATCGATCGCCATAACTTATTCTAGTAGTTTAACTGGTAATCGGTTGTCTGTTCTGTGACCTTGAATAGGATTTTTCAAACATCTTGAAATAGAATAAGATTAAAATGTTGAATGCAAAATATACAGTTAATTTACTATTGTTATCACTTAAAGATGTCACTGGTTAATTATATTGGTGATCAATATGAAACTTTGAAGTTTGCAGTAATTTCAATGATGTTACATGCTAAAATGTTTATCGATTAGCTTTGTACATTAATTCCACTTGTGTCAAGTCAGCTAATCATAACATTGACAAGAAGTCACTCATCAAGGCTGAATTTCTCATAAATAAGTCATTAGCTTTTACTCGTAGTTCAAAAGTCACATCATGTTGATTGCATTTCATAATATTTGGGCAATCAATAAAAAAACATGACGCTCACTTCTTATCAGTAGTATTTACTGTTTAGCGATATGAATATCGAGTTAATATTGATATTTTCCTGTTTACTAATCAGCGTCACTTTATAACTAATGAAACACAATTCAACTTGAACTAACTGTTCATATCACAACAATACATTTGGTCATTTACATTATCTTTACAACTAGTGAAGGAGACATTCCTTGAAATAAAAAGATTCTTAGTGTCTATCAATAAGGATAAATGTACTATTATGATAACAGTTGTTATTCTTGCTAATATTACATATCGGAATATAGAATCGACAGTTCATTGCTGCATGACTCTATATCACTGTTTGAAAATATTTTTTAAATTCACATCATGTGGCTTATCTTAGACAAACATTGAAAATGCGAAGACAGTAAATAACTATTTCATCATAGAATGGAACAGTTAACTAGTGTGTATACATGACTGTATATGTACATATATAAATATATCTATATATATAGGTGAAGATGGTCGAGTGAAAGTATTGATAGTGCGTAAAACATACCAAAGTATGACGTAAACAGTTTACAAGTCTTTAGTTCATACAAAACTCGTAGCACATACTGTATGATTTGTGACAGTCCTTTAACTTCTGATGTCTGATAATGAAACTTATTGTTGTAACCAGTTTAACTAGATTCCTAATCAATTTATTTCTTGATTTCTAGGATCCAATCATGTGCATTCTTTTCGGTTTGAATTTACGTGATCGTAATATGACAATGAAAGGTATTCGCAACACATCGATTTCACTAATTATCTGTGTTATGATTGGTAAGTTATCACGAATTTTTTTCATGAATTGTTTTTTAGTTTTGATAGTTCGGTCTAAATACAGTTTTTTAACGCAAGTAATCATTCGACATCGAAACAAATCCCGATCATTTAAAATTGAAAAAAATTCTTCTGCTTATCACAACAGTCTACCAGTTTCATTCTTTGTAATCGAATGGTGGCATAACCATTGTATGTGTGAATGTTTATTAATAAACTAAATTCGCTCCATCTCGATTCATTACAAGGACATCTTGATAGATCATGTCAAGTAAAATGAATGTCATCATTTTTGTTTAATTGCATTCAATGAAACTGACTTGAAATTCATCCAACACAGAACAACAGCACCCATTTTCTCTAGATAGTATTAGAAAATCATGTCAATTGTTTTAGGTAAATTAGAATGTGTTTTCTTCTTTATTTGGAAATACCTTGCAATTCCGTATCTCCATTTTTGTTTAATACTCAGTGCACCCATACGGAGGGATAGAAATAAGAGTCAGTTTAGTTTGAGATTACACGTTGTGATGTATTTACATTTCTTATGTATCAGAGCTTCAAGCTTATAAGCATTAAAAAATACAAGGCTTTAATTAGAATTGAGTTTATCAAAGTATTTACTATTCTTTTGTTATACTGTGAAAAAAACTAAATAAGATTAATTGTAATGACTTTCTTTGTTATCTTGATTGGGTTGGATTAATAGTTCACATTTTTGCAGGCTGTATTCATCATCGATTAATTTTAGTCGGGATACCAATGAAAACTAAGGAGTACTAGACAGTTATGGCACAATCTTAACCTCGATTATTTTACAATATGGCGTGACGATCATTCTGTATCACTGGTGAGACCTTGAACGACATGGCTCAGAATCGTTTGCAGTGGCGCAGATGCATCCACTCTTTGTGTGCTTTTTATTTCTAACCTTCTGAATTCCTCATAATCTCTTTCTTTCTCCTTATAAATTGATCTCACTGAATTATACTTCTCGAATCATATCTTCTCTCCCTAATCTTCTCCATTACTGCTAGTAATTCTACTATCGCTACCACTCTTGGATTTGAACTGACAGTTACGTCTCTGTGCTGACGTAGTATGGCAACCTGAACTGATGTACTTATGTACGAAGTTCCGCCTTGTATCTGTCTGACTGGTGAAGATTGTTTCACTACTAGCATGTCTATCATGATTACCTTTGTCGTCTTGATTGTGTCAGATTGACAGTTTACCGTTTTTTTTGCTCCACGGTCTTGTTTCATAGAAATCAAATCATTAAAAGTTCAAATAAAGAAAATAATTTATTTAGTTATTGTGAATCCACTTGTTGACAGTTTGATAATGAATAATAACTTTAAATTTAATTGTGAACAATCTGATAATGTAAGGTTAAATACCTAATTAAATTGATAATAATATCTTTTTGTCATTGTCTTACACTTTTTTTTATTATCAGGATTAACATTTGGTTATGTAGCACATGCAATTAGCGCTTTCCAAGATGTTACACCATATCCCACAAGTGAAATGGTTCAAAGGTTAGCTAGTTCATGTTTATACTCTGCTTTCTTTTTCATTATTTTTTTCAATTAAAAAGTGTTCTTGTTCAATTTTTTAATTTATTTAACAATGGACTCGTCAACTGGATAAACCTGTAGATCAGTTGTTTTTTAATTATTTTTAATATTATCATGAATATATTGTTCACTAATTGAATAACTTTTTTAAAAATTTGTAAAAGAACACCATTTAGACGTAATTACAACAACTCAGTAATATTGTTCACTGAATAACACATGCCTATAGCAAAGGGATTTGAAAAATTGGTATTTGCAAAAAAAACATTGTTTTTACGATCTTATTTTTGCAGTGTCTAAATGTCTGAGACGGGTCATTGTTACATAAGCATTGAAAATGAAAGATAAATAGATAATTGTTTTGTCCCAGTATGGAACGCCTAACTAGTGTGTATACATAGCCCCACCAGACATTGAACCCGAGGCATTCAGGTCATACGATAAGCGCTTAGGTTGCAGATTACTAAATCGTCATGTTTAACTTCAACCGATTCTCAATACAGCACAACTATCATCCAGTGTTGTTAACGAATATACTCACCAAGAAGGACTCATGGATTTACAATATGAAACTAGTCCCTATTAGGTTTTACTCACTTTACTGACTTACGCCTGTTACCCCAATGGAGCCTAGGCCGCTGACTAGTGTTCTCCAGCCTACTCTGTCGGGGGTCTTCCTTTCTAGTCATGTCCAATTGTTGTTCATTCTTCTCAAGTCTGTCTCCATTTCTCGGCGTTATATGTTTGCTTACTTTCCTCTTTTCCGTTAGGTATATTATTATTATTATTATTATTATTAATAATGGAAGTTTATAATGACTGTAAGTTTGGATTCAGTTATCTCCACAATCCTTCTATAATAATAAATATTTATGGCTGAGATCAGTCTGTGATCGAAACAATCCACTAGTAAAATCAGTCCCCGCAATACTTTCATTAAATTATGGAATTTCGAAAATGACAATCCACTTACTTTCGGTCCCAATGATAAGACCTTACTGTAAATGACCAGAAGAATAAAGATGTTAGCTTAAACTTAGGATTGATATTTACTTTATATTTTCAAAGTGTTTATTGCTGTTATATTAAAACAAAATTGAGTTCGTTGTGCATATGCGTTTTGTGTTTACTTGCTTTTCCCCCTAATAGTGTTAGCGTTGTATTCGCTCACGATAACCTGATTTGCTTGTGTTCTGCTTAGAATTATTCTGCTGTTATTCAGTTATAAGTTATTGTTAACCCTAAGAAGTTGTTGAATTTGTGTTAGGTTTATAATGTCGAGGCATTCATATTCAATGGATGCTTACATATGTTACAGTGTATTGGTCAAAATGTTATTCGACATCTGTTGATGTGTTCATTTAATATTGTTTTGGCCAATATTAATTATAGGGTGTTACTTTACCTACTGTAATATGGTAAACAATGGATGTTATTAATTTGAAGTGATGTAATTCACAATTTATTTGTGCCTAACATATTTTTCCACTGCTTCTTTCCCTCAAACATGAATATTATTGTCATCCTCTTAAAATAGGTATTTGCCCATCATCTTTTTCAGTTATTTTTGTGGTCGTTTTTTTTAACTTTTTGCAATTACTTATCTTACTCATTGTCTCTACTCATGATAACTTGAATTGATGCACTGTTTTTATCGATTTTTGTGTGGAATTCACTAGTCGAGCATTTCTGTTTGATATGAATCATGAACAAAGTAATAAAAGGTGAAAATAACAATTAGGAAATCAATTTAAACGTCCCTGTATAATATTATAGATTGTTTTTAGTTAGTGTTTGACAATGATTTATTTTAATACACGTTGTACATCAAATTTCTTGACCACAATTATATTTCGCTTTCTAACCACCGTTTTGTCTTTCCTATGCCTCCTTTGTGTGCATGTATGTTTGTGACAACTATTGAATAGTGTAACGTTAAAAGACTGACGTGTTTTTTTTTGTGCTGTCTGACACATACCTGCCGAGCAGTAGTCTTAAACTAGAACAAGATGGTTGGTGTTTTTATTCTGGTTTTCGATTATTTTTCAATCGCAAGTCAATCTACTACTACAGCCCATTTTCGGATAGATAAATACATTTGCTTTACTCCATAACATAGCTGTCAAATAAATTGAATGAAGAGTGTCCTGCATTCATTGGGGTTTTCTTCAGGCGGGAACATCATAATTTTATGGAACTGTTGTCGCTTAGTGGCTTACAGGGAATAGAAATTATGTCAGAATTCTCATTATATTTTTCTCAACCTTTCCAATAAAAAGCCAAGGAGTAGCACTTATAATAATAAATCACAAACTTGAGATGTTTGCTTTATTACATGGATTTTTATGATTGGCATTTCATGTTGTCTGTGAATTCCTTGCTCTGTAAATGGATTTTATCTTATAGAAGACACTTGTAGAGTGTATAAGAACAATCAACTAAGTTTCTATCATAAACCGTTAAAGGTATAGTAAGCATTTCACTTTTATCTAATACCATAGGACTTTGCAATATGATTCTATCCCAGCTCGATAGGCATTTGCCTAAATTCAACAAAATAAATCTTTATTGAAAGTGTCCTTATTTTACACTGGAATGGTCTTTCCATTTCTTATTCTCCATGTAATTTTAGGGGTGAACTACGATCTTTTATCGGGTCAATGCTTGTGGCAGCATTCTCTGGTGTTAGTGTTTCTTTCGCTATACTAAGTAAGCGATTATCAGCTTTAATTGGGAATGCAATTTCCCTCTCACTATTACCACCAGCTGTTAACTGTGTAAGTCAGTTTGTTGTTTCTCAAACATTATAATTATTACTGCTATTGTTTATTCTTCTTATTATTATTATTTTCATGTTCAAATAATTAGGTCATAACCTTAATTCTCAATAAACTTGAATTTGAGATGGTGAAGAAAACTTGTTTAGTTGTGGAGCTTTCATTGTTCGTCTGAGCAACATCATCTGCACAAATCTCTGGTATAAGTGAAATGTTCAAATTTCTCTACACATCACTAACAGTCTGTCTTGTTCTGGTTAAAATTTGTTTTTTCTATTAAATTATTTTACTGTGAGCTGAACTAATCATCCTTCTCTAGCGTTTAGATCAAATATAATGATGCTTCCGAATGCTCTCCAATTCCGATCGATCATCATAAAGTTCAGACCGCATTGAATTTAAATTCTCTTCTGAATAGTGTAAATGATTTCATTGATAATGTTAGCATTGCTTTAGAATTCTCTTCATGAAACTCTTTATCACATCACTGTTTTCGCATATTGTCCTCTTTCAGGGTCATTTGTTGTTACTCTCTCTTTTGGCCATCTCTACTGGAGAGAAACGTGAGGTAATTGTTCACTTTTTTGACGGTATATAACAAGCACTCTTCATCATTCCAAAGATGTATCTATGTACAAATTATTCTTTGTCCTCTTTTTCAAGCACTAATCTGTATTTGTCACTGATCAATTATTTTCAGTTATACTAACTGTGGAATATTAAGAGCATTTTTATAATGACTGATTGTTTGATGATAGCAAATATATATTTTTTGATAATTAATACTAACTTGCTTACTTACGCCTGTTACCCCCAATGGAGCATAGGCCGCCCACCAGTTTTCGTCAAACAACTCTGTCCTGAGCTTTTCTTTCCAGTTCTGTTCAATTTTTAATCATTTTCCTCATGTCTTTCTCTTTTTCTCGGCGTAATATGTTCCATGGCCTTCCTTTTTTCCTTTTACCTTGAGGGTTCTAAGAAAGAACTTGTCTTGTGACGCATTCGAGGACTTTTCGCAGTGTGTGTGTGTGTGTGTGCAATAATTTATAATGAAATAACAAAGAACAGAAATAATTTTAAGTCTATTTCAACAACAGAAAAATTAGTTACCTACAACTTTTTTGAAAAACTCTGGACACTAATTACTGTTTTCTCCAAATATTTAAAATTGGTTTATTTTTCAATAATCACTGTATAACAGCGACTAAGCTTGTTTTTTCTACATAGATCTGTCAATATACATATACTTATGAAATCGTTTCACCTGATGAATTTATTTTCTTAACAAGTAGTTTTATTTCTAGAGTAAATGTTCATTGGTCAGTCACGTTTTTCATTGTTTCAAGGATGATGATATTCTCTTCTTTGTTAGTATGGAACAGCAACGGATACAGAATCGAATGTTACAGCAACTTTGCATTACTGTACTTATCAATGGATTCGACAGTATGAATTTATTTATATGCGGAATCATTGCAATGCTCCTCTGGAATTCCTGTATGTTGGTCTATCTAGTTTTTCTCTTGTAACAATGAATATCATGCTAATTCTAGTTACTGGATATACGGTGAACAAAGTAAGACTGGTCACTTATTCAGTTATTCTTACAGTACAAATAAAAATAGAATATTGTTTCGAAAACAATTATTTTTACATAAGCAGAAATGGATATTGGCTAGCAGTGGAATCCAAGACTCCCATTTCGTCCCATTTGGGACTCGTCAGCTGGATGGACCTGAATCTCAGAGTTGGTGTTCACTCCGGGACTTGAGCGAATGATGATTCTGGAATGGGACGAAGCGCGCACGCTGGATTTCACTGCTAGATAATATCTATTTCTTCTTACAACGCTTATGACTTAGTGGCTAGATCGAGGCAATCCGCTCAAGATGCCCATATGCTAAATGCTATGTCAACTATCAACGGGAAGATTCAAACTACCAAAATAAATGCATCAATTATTTTGTGTTAAAGGGAGTTTTGTTTTTAGTTGAACGGGCTGCTTCTGAACTGTCATTGTCCATTCATCACTTCCTGTCAGTACGAGATTTTGACATCACAGGCCGTATGGATAATAAATTCTTATTTTTAAGTAATTCCGTTACAATGACTGATATTCTCACCGGTTGAATAACTTTTTATGCTTTATTGTTTTTAGAAGGTTAGAAAGGATGTATTACACAACACTGAGTTCGATATTGAAACTTAAGAGATAGTTTTTAAATAGATTGGCCAATAAACAAATGTTTAGAACTACTCGCTTAGTTACTGGCTGATGAGCACCTAAACTGATACAACTAAGCAATGAATCTTTATTTGCCACAGAATTCTAGGGAATTGAATAATCTCCCCTCAGGAAGTCTGGGCATACATGTAGCGTGCACTCATACAAATATAAATCCTGAAGGCTAGGACGGTGATAGTACACCCACTCAGTAAAGAATACCTTTTAAGCAAACTGATATTATAAACAAAGGTCATTACACATCTTGTCTGATTCAATGAACTTACTGAAGCCATATATTAACCAGGAACTAAATGAGCTATTGATAAATACTTACTAAGTAGGAGTTCACATTTCACCTGTCCAATCACAGATTAACATTTATTTTCGGGCAGAGTTTTGCAGGTTTGTGTTTTTACACATTTGAAATCGTCAATCAATCATTGTTAGACCACCATTAGAAACCTGAAAGAACTGGACGGCCGTTTCGTCCTGGTATGGGACTCATCAGCTTTGGATGCTGGCCCAGTGGTCCGATGGTTAGGCGTTCGCGCACAATTTCGAAAGTCCTGCTAGGTGCAGGAGTCTTGGATGCGCACTGTTGATGAGTCCCATACCAGGACGAAACGGCCGTCTTTCAGTGCTTCCAGGTTTCTAATGGCGGTCTAACAATGATTAATTGATGATTTCAAATGTGTAATAACATTTATTTGCAATAAAATAATCTCGTTTCTTCAATGTTTGCAGTTTTAATTAGTGATTGATAAAGACTGCGGAGACACGCTATTCAACAACAGTAACAGGTAAAAATATTTCAATAGATTTTTTACTTCTTTTGTCTTGTAGATTAAAAATTTGGTGCCACTTTCGTTCACAAATGAAATCACTCGGAGATTTTATCAAAAGGATTTACGAGCAAGTAAAATTGTTGAAAAATTATCTAAAACAATTTTTGTTTGATTTTCAGGGTTCAAAGTCATATATGACTTTCAACTTGTTTTCATACTTGATGTGATTTTTTAAAAATCCTAACAGACAAAATGTGCACGCAGGTATATTGCTGCCAGAATCTGATATTATAACAATCATTTAGGAAACTGTAATTATTAATTACCGATTGAAGTGCACCAGCATGTAAAAGAGAATGAAGCACAAATGATTTGTGCTCAGTAAGTGATAGGATGAAATGTGTTTCTATTACTTGAATGGATGATGCGTCCCACAGGTTGAAAGTCAGTAAATCAGTCGGTAGTTAGTGATATGTTTTTTCTTGTGTGAATGACAATCAAATACAAAAATGAATGACTAGAATTATTCCCGATTATAATCAAAGATAACCTTACATCTTTTAGGTGGCCTTAGTGAAGCACTTCTTAACATTTGGCATCCACGATCGCACTGGGGATAGAACCCCAAACCTCCGGTCTCCGGCTTTCAATGGTGGTTTAACCAATATCAGTGCGTGATGCAAACCAAGAAAACATACAGAAGTAGTATAGGTTGACAAAAGACAAAATAGCACTTCACATCCGTTCGGAAGTTTTCCTTAATCCATCCCGTATATGTAGAGATAGACCTTTATTTGAGTTTGTGTTTCTGGAATTTTGTCTACTGTGCCTTAAGCCCACTTGACAATGAAAACCGAGTTTTTTCAACAGATGAAAAATTTTCCTCTTCACTTTACTGTATGTGTGAACGCAAATAAGTTTCTAAAGTGTTCTCACTATTATTAATTTTACAACTGCCTATATATATATATATATATATATATATATATATATATATATATATATATATATATATATATATATATATATATATACAATGAGAGAGGGAGACAGTCTACAGTTATTGGATGATTCTAAACTTTGCTGTAAATATCCCCTAACTTGATAAACATCAAAGATTTAGCCCTAATAAGAGTCATGGATTCTTATAACTGAATGATTCTGAATTAGGACAAAGTAGTAAGCGGAAATATCTCGTAGCACTTTTTTTATTTTCAGGTAAAAATTAATCACCCTTGGTTTGTCGTAAACAATTTTTTTACATAGATAGTTTACGTCCTTAAACCGTTGAAAATCAGATAATATTGTTTGTTTAACTGTTATCAAGGATGAATGGTTTAGTGGCGGAGGTTTACTTGTTGTTCTGAATGACAGCACCGCCGCCTACTTCATGTAGTAATGAGCTTCCTTGGTACTTCACGTGTGTTAAAAAGTTTCGTTCTGACGTCTGTTTTCTTATGTTTGATTTTCACCATTGTGTTCAATTTTGATTATTACATTTGTTTGATTGACGTCTTGTCTATAGATTGATAGCCTGAGTCTATTAATCGCTTATCGATCTGAATACCATGCTTCTAGGAAGTTTTCATCACTATCAGATTCTCTTTGATTTAGAATTTCTGACTCTCATTCAGAGTTATATTCATCGTTGTTTATATAGATTGATGTCGATGATAATACAAGATATCGATCCACTGACTCTTCTACATTTTACAAACAAATCAACGACTAAAGTGGTGACAGATGTTTGTTGGGAGATTTGACCATAGTTTCTGTTCGTTGATGGACATAGGTGCGTGTTTCTATGCATTTAGTGATGAGAAATCTTCTTTGCAAAAAATAAATCCCACTTTGGTTTATTTTGAACAATCAAGAAATAAGCGGGATATATTCACTAGATAAGCAATCTAAGAAAGGAGTATGCCCATTAGTGAAATCAGAAATATACGTTTTTTGCTATTTGAGACTGATCAGTTGGATGTACATATATGTATACTAGTATTGATGTTTATATTTGGACTCAGACCCAAAGTCAACGCATTGTCCACTAAGCTACTGTGTCTCGGTCGACCGTTTTGCCATTTACATCATTGCCAGTTTGAGTTCATCATGCCACCGAAACTCATGACTACATTTGGATCAGTCCTTGTTTGCACATGTCCACAAAAAATAAATTTTAAAGATAAGTTATACTCTTTATGAGCTGTCATTTAAACAATTATGATTTAGCCAGTGAGAGCACTAGATAGATGATTCCCACCCCTCGTTCCCGTAACTAGTCTTTTTAATCGATAAAGTGAGCATTAAAGGAATCCACTAATATATTAGAAACTTGTTAATGTTTTATGCAATAGTTTCCTGTATATTTTTATATAATTCAGTTTGTAACTGAAACTTAAAAGTCATAATCTATTTAATACCTCATTTGATTGTAATTATAAACTTTGAAAATAAATTTTTCAACAACTATCAAATTAAAGTCTTCTCATTACCGGCATCAAGTGATCGAGGGTAGCAGTTAACTGGAATACATCGTTGTTGTCCACAGTTTTATAAATCTGTGACTAACCATAAGAATAACAATTAACCTGATTCATTGTAACTAAAATGGAGAAAGGCTTTTCTTCAGTGAATTTAAACAATTGTCTACCGATTTCCAGATTTTTCTAATAATGTCTAATAAACAGATCTTGACTATTGATGAAATTTTATAAAGAAAAAAAAACGCTGAACCAGCACACATTTATCATTCCACTTTCTATTGCACACATATACGCAAGGAAATCAGTAATAAATATTCAGATCCGAAAAAACAACAGGTTTGGGATAGAAAAATAAAGTGTCTGTTTCTATTCTATTGGAGTATAAATGTGTACGTATTTGATCATTATCTGTAATAAAACTATTCGATTTGATCGATAAACTGACCATATATGCAAAACTCGATTTAATTATCTTCAATTTTATCTTACCTCTTTCTTCTTTTTAACATATACACGTGCTTCAATTAATCCACTGTTTATGATAGGAGGTTCGTGAAAATTACAAATGTTTGCATAAATTTGATGCAGCTGGTTTAGCCACTTATGCATATAATGAATATTTACGTTTAAATAAAGTGAATACACATGATGATGAACTAGCCAATTTGGATATTGAAGATGCTGATCAGATTGCTAATGAATTTCATACAATTATGAAAGTGAGTTTACTTTGTATAGATATTTTCAGGGAATAATTAAATGCTGTTTGGTGAGTATGACTGAGACGTATGCAGACTATAAGTCATCAAAATATAGTTAATGAATGCAAAGATAATTTGTTGATGAATGAACTTTTGAGATCAAATTTCATTATGAGTATGAACAATTGCAGGGGGGTTATCACCATGAAGCTTCTTAAAGCGATGAAAATCTTTCATCACTGAAAATTAGATATATAATTAGACAGGTTTTCGCCTCTTAGACTTTTATATGAATCATTGTATGTAGGATGTATGAATTCAACCATCAATATTTCCAAGGGTGCATATCTTTCATATATTTTCAGTGATGACAATAAACAGCAATGTATATATTATAATTATTGAACTTTTCTTGCTTCAGTTAAAACATCTATGTAATTATGCGATTATTGCTTACGACTTCACGAAAGTACCTCCAAAATTTATGACAGTTTAAGTAATTGACTAATCAGCTTGACATAGCAAAAAATTGATTTTAATGTTCAGATTTGTGTATTTCCGAGATAATGATTGACTTATTGTGTTTATCAATGACTATGGGCTTTCTGAAATAAATTGAAAAAGGATTACAAAATACTGGAAAAAGTGCTTTGTAAAACTCTAAGCTGTTCATTTGAACATATGTTTTCCGAACATTCGGTAACTTTATTCAAAATAAGAGTCGCGATTGCATATGAGGCCCAAATGTGAACATATCATCCATGTGAGTAATTCTACATCTATTGCGGTCAGTCAGTTGGGTACAAATCTAACCAGTATTGTCATCAGTACTTGTTGTTTATCAAAATTTACAATTGATTAAGATGAGAACTATTACATTTGGACGTAGCTGCTACCATGACATGGTGATCGGACTTGCCTATCGTAGTGGCCCAACCAAGCTATATTGGCTAGAACACATGTTCCTGTAGGTTCTACCATGCCAGCTAGGTCTATTTGAGAACGATGAAACTAAAAGCAGCATCTGAAAGTTTAAGGGCGAAGTGACAGCAGCATCTGTAGCGATGCTGCTTTCTTACAAGAAAGGAAGGGGTTAGAATAGGTCGACCCTTAAAATGTCACACCTCACCTTACCTCGCTGATTTCCATCTCCGGCGGTAAGGCCTTTTAAACAAGAACGGAGCTAATACTGTAAATACAACCCATAAAAAAGGCCGTGAGTGACCGGCCTCAAGCAGTGGTCCTTTGGACTCTGCAGTCACGCTCCTAGGTCTCTAAGACCAAGACTAATCCAAATTCATTTTCAGGTTTCCTAAGAAACACCCCTACACGGTGTGGGTGATATCCGCCCTCACACCCGTAACAGCACACGAGACTGAACCGGTCACAATCAAATCCTCACTACACGCCCTAACCTCTCTCTTATCTCCATGACTAACCCTTAACAAATTCCTATATCACCCCTCACCGGTAAAGCAAACGATTCGAGTTCCCGAAACGTTATTCCTGGTCTCCTGAAACCCCGCTCTAAACTACATGTTGGAGCTTTAGATGTCCAAACCCTGCGCCGAATAGGATATCATGATTCCTTAGCTAGGACTCTGGAATCTCGTGTAATCGATGTATACTGCGTCTTCGAAACGCGTATGCAGGGTCCGTGTAGCGTAACTCATTTGACCTCACCATGTCAAAATGAAGAACTAGATCGATTTTTGCCCCGTGTTTCTGGAAAACTCACTGCTGCTTCCCGTGGCCTCACTGGTGTAGGTGTAGTATAAATTCCTAGGGTAGAACTAGCTCTCTTATACTGGATCCCGGGAGACAGTCGCTCGTGCGCTGTCCGACTTAACATGACAGTAAGAACTCAGAAAGAGAGGGACACTCGCCGCTGCATCTTCGTCGCATCTGCCTACGCTCCCACTGACTGCAGTTCAGACGAGGTGAAAGATGAGTTTCACAGAAAACTTTCGGACCTCCTCCGAAACGTTAGGTGCTCTGATATAGTAATAGTGGCTGGTGACTTCAATGCTCAAGTAAGTAGACCTAGTGAAAAGGAAAAACACCTGTGTGGATTTCAGGGTATCGCGGCTCAAAGAACAGATAGTTGCGATCGTCTGCTACAACTATGCCCAGATAGCGACCTATTTTTAGCAAACACTAACTTTAAGCATAAGGACAAACATCTTTTGACCTGGCGACCCCCGAAGTCGTCACAACGTTGGACCCAACTAGATCACAGCCATCGATAGAAGGGTTCGATATAATACTGTCGCTCGTTCTGGGGCACATGTTTAGATTTAGATCATGCTCTAGTGCGAGCGTGTATTTCTCTGCAACTTATTGGACGTAGGAAAGACATTGCAAGGAAATCTCTAAGGGTTTCACTTAATGACAAAATAGCTAAGAATATAGTTCAGGAACAACTCGGAAAACAGTTGAGAGGCCATACAAGTGGTGCCCACCCTGAGGCAGCTTGGAACGATATCCAAATAGCCAGGGATGAAGCAGTGATATCCGCTAGTAAGGTAAACCAAAAGCTTAAGAATAAGCCATGGATTTCAGTAGCATCTGCCGAACTGATAGATGCTCGGAAACTCATCTCCTGGCTCTGAATACGATGAGGAGCAGAGTCAGCTTAGGCACAGGCTGATAAAAAGCCTTCGCATTGATCACGAACGGTGGTGAGTAGAGAAAGCAAGAGAGATTGAAAAGGCAGTGATGATAAGTAGCAGTATACAGCTATTCAGGCTTATCAAGGAAGCTGGTGCTAGGAATACATCTGTTAGCCAAACAGTCTCGAAAAAGGACGATCGTATCATTCATTCTCAACCCAAGAGATTGGATTGATAGGAAGAAAACTTCATAGATCAATTCAAGTGACCTTCAGCCACCCTTCCGATGCCCACGATCTCCAGACAACCTGAATGGCAAATCTGTGTAAGTCCTCCGACTCTAAATGAAGTTGAGAAATCTATAGGAAATCTGAAGCGAGGAAGAGCAATAGTTTCTGATGGATTGACCCCTGAGATTCTTGAGAACGGTGGTCCAGTGTTGGCAGTCAGATTGAATGAGTTCATAGCTAGAATCTAGGAGCTGGGCGTAATCCCATTCGAATTGGTCTCAGTCAATGATTTCCACAGTCCCACATTAGTAGAATTTCTCGACCTTAAAGTGAGGTTCGACTCTCTCCATTGGGAGGTTCTGTGGCAGTGTCTGTCATTAAAAGGTGTACCAAAGAAGTACAATAACCTTGTACAAGCTCTCTACTCGAACACTACAAGTCAAGTTACAGCTAAAGGCGAACTGTCATCGAAATTGATTACTCCAAGTAGTGTCCGTTAGGACTATCCTCTCTCTCCATTCTTGTTTAACTTTACCATAGATATACTTTTAGAGATAACATTATCTTCGTCTGACTTTTCCGGAGTGGACCTTCTAGCAGGAAACACGCTTGTTGACTTAGAATATGCCGATGTCATAGTCCTACTTGGTGAAGACGCTGACAAAATGCAGAGTTTTCTGACTACCCTGAGCAACAATGCAAGCATGTTCGGGATGCGGTTTTGTCCTTCGAAATTCAAAATGTTGCTTCAGGATTGGCTTGTATCGACACCATAACTAGTGATAGGGAGTGAAACAACTGAGCGTGTTGACTGCTTCACTTATCAGTGCTGATTGCCTGGTGACTGACGAAACCTCAGCACGGATACAGAAGGTTCGATTGGCTTTTGCCAACTTCCCTCACTTATGGAGTAGGCGATATATCGGTCCGCTAATCAAAGGACGAGTGTACTGTTCTCTCCGTCCTACTACATGTGAAACATGGCCAGTCAGAGCAGACGATATTCGTAGGTTACTTGTTTTCGATCATAGGTGTCTTCGGACCCTTGCTCGTATATTCTGGGACAACCGAGTAAGCAATGCAATTGTTATGAAATGGGTGTTAGATAAGGATGGTAGATCAATAGATGAAGAATTGAAACTTCATCAGTTGAGGTGGTCGGGACATGTGTTACGTATGCCCAACCATCGACTGCCTTGTCGAGCTGTTTTGTGGTATAGGAGTAAGTTGGGAGGAAGATGCGGACGGCCAGATCAAATATGTCACAAATCCATGAAGTCACTGACAAGTGGACTGAGTCATATTGGTAAGTGTCAACTACCTAGTTGGGGTCCGCGAGATGATAGTAATCATGTGTAATGGCGTAGGTGAATCCACTCTTTGTGTTCTCTCTAATTCTAATCTTCTGAATTCCTCATCAGCTCTATCCTTCTCTTTCTAAAGTTATCTCACTGAATTATACTTCTCGAATCATATCTTCGAACCCTAATCTTCTCCATGACCAGAGTACTTCTACTATCGCTACGTTGTAACTGACTGAACGTAAACTTTATCTAAAGATAGGTACCAGAGAAACCATACTATTTATAAATTTTTAAGAAAGAGAATAATTCTATGGATATAACTATCGAACAAAAAAACATTTCAGTCACCTTTATCTCAGGTTAACTGGGTGTCATAAACATAAGTGGATTGTTTGGGTTAACCACCCCAAAGCATGACTTCTCTACATTCAAAATATGGTGATTAACCTAGAGATGCCACTCTGGATTTACACATGCGAAGACAGATGTTACCTGACGTAACACTAATGCCAATCACATCATTATTTGTGTGTTAAATTCTAGACTGTTTCTAACTATTTACATCCAATATCTCTTATTGTTTAATGTAAGTTCTGCACATTACAATGATACTAAGGTTACAATGTATCCGATGTTTTTACAGCGAGTTTTTCTTGTAATTGATCTCAAAGTATATACCGTTAACTATGTTGTAGGATCTCAAAAAAGATCCCTATCTACAGACTATTACCGCAGAAACAACCCAAGGTGACAACAGCTTCTTGGTAAGTCCTAAAGTTGTTTATGGATTTGATGCTTTTGTAGACTAGGCTACTTTATAAGTATACAGTTATCTAATTATGAAAGTTCTTGGCGAAATATTTAATTTGCATGACCATTACTTTTTTATACAGCGACCATGCATATCCCTTTTTCACCAGTCACCTTTGTAAACAGATATAAAACAATGGTTTAAAATATTTTTGAAGCTGCTCGTACTGTGTATGTACATAATATCAATAAAAAAACTGATCACTGAGTGTAACAATAAACTAGATCCAGCTTAATTAGTGTAACTCAACTGTTGAGAACATACTTCAAACTACACCTGCATAGTGTCAGTAGCTAATTAAATCATAACCTTACTTCTTCACTTGTAGCTTAATTAGTTCTAATTGAGTGGAGAGACGTAAAAGAAATTTGTTTCATTTTTTTGTGAATCTTTATTATTACTCAACTAAAATTCTTCTCCAAAATTACATATATTTATCAAAATCTCAGATTGACTAATTTTTAAGTCCAAGTGATGTCTCGAATAGACTTTTTGTTCCATATCAGAAACAGAATTAACAAGTTGTCCGGGACTTGATGTACATTCGTTTACACGTACATCACACAACTCATGAACTATTTGGTTTAATCCATTCTAAAACAGATGGTTAAACTTTAGTGCTTGTTTATTAAGCAAATTGAATTCGATGTGAAATGAAAGTGAGTGAAGTTACGTGACGTTCTATTAAGCTGTAAACTTTTACAGTTCATTAAATCAATTATGAGTTCTAAATATCCATTATCCTCGACCTCTATCAGGCTTACTTAGATAGTTTCAGAGTAGTTCTAGAACCAACTGCAGATAAAATCAATAAAGAGAATATACGCAAATATCACAATTCTGGGGAATGGTTGCCTTCATCTATGCCAAATGGAGATGATAAGCCCAAGCTGTTGTATGTGAAAAATATGAGAGGAAACGAATAAACCACTGGTATGGTAGTTAGAAATAAACAGGTGCTCATACGGTATACTATGGCACGGTATTATGCCGAGTTACATGGAACTGCAAGCGATCAGTTAAGTTGGGCTACTGACATATCGAGGTTGACACGCAGTGGCAGAAGCAATGGCATGTAGAATATATTCACTACTAATAACAGAGCCAGGTGGACGCCACAGGGTTTCATCAATATGATCCAAATTTACATGTTCAGTACACTATCCAGCTAAATTTATAAGTCGGATAGTCCCTCCCCCCTAGAATCGAGGAGTATTTTTCATTACAAACATCAACTTCAGAATTCGATGTTCTAAAATGTGCGAATTATTGTCAATCAATTTGAGAGTAAGCGGATTTTGCTAAGATCAGTTCAGTGACGGAAATATTCAAAAGTGATTTTGTTATTTTTGTCGCTGTTTATTTCAGGCGTCTAGGAATTGAACTAATCATTCAGCTCAGTAAGACATGTGAATGGCGTTGCCATTTTTATAAACTGGCCACTTAATGGTGTTTTGTAAACAATGATGTTTACTGTTTTGCGACCGTAATATCACTTTGATTTAGTTCGTGTACGATTTTCATCGAACTTGTCTTGCTTTTTATCTCGTTTATTCAGAAGAGATTTATGGAGAAATCCAACGAATTATCATCAAGAAATGCAGTGAAACGAGTAAAAAAGCATCATACATTTTGTTATCCCGATAAAACGTTTACGGTTTCCCAAGATGGTACAGTTGGGAACAATTTTGACAACAATAATAGCAGTACAAATATTAATAAAACAATTAACACATACAGTCGCCCTATGTTTGTTAATCAACATATCAACAGTAACACTTGTAATATCATGGACAATAGGAGTGCTAATACACGGGTGAAGTTAGTGGATAAACTAGTATCTGAAACGAGACCTTCGGTTTTTGCCAATGAAGTTAGTTGATTTTATTGATAAACAAAATAATATTCTGCTATGTCCATTGATCTAAGAGAAATGAGTTTTACGACTACTGTTACAGTTCAGCTTCAAAAAGACCGAATAATCGCAAATATTTATATTCTTATTAGCTAATTTGTCGATTTCCATTGAAATAACTTATTCGGCAGTTTTATGCACTTAAACTTAACAAAACACCAGGCACAACAGCAACCAGAGTCACTAATTACTTTGGAAGCCTAGACTGGATAAGTATTTTCTTCTACTGGCCAAAAAGTGTACACCGTACCATAAACCATCCATCCCCAAATTATTTACCAGGTATACATCATTCATGTTGAAATAGAGTAAAAATGGCTGATCGGATAACAAACCGATTGTTAAAACGGGCCACACCCAATGATCTATATAATTACTATCACAACTTCGATTGATGCGAAGTTAGTAGGATTGATATCGATGAGAGTAACTGCTCCTGTTACTCTACTTTTAAGTGAATGGACAAATTCAATTTGTAACCTAAGAATTCGAATATTCTCAAAAAACACTATACCGTAACACCAGTTGACAAAGTAAGCCATTAGTTTATAGATGAGTCTTCCACTTCCTATAGCTTTTTGTATTAACTATCGATTATATTGGTTTTTGACACTCAGAGACACTCGATATGACTTTTTAAGTACTCCTTAGAAATAGATGAAAATTGCAAAGAGAGGAAGAAATGTTTAGGGGGAAGTTTTGTAATTTCCTATGCTAATTTTATCAAGAATGTGAATGACATTTAGTTCGGTTGTAGTTTTAATTATGGGCATAGATCTCATATTAGTAGCCCTGATCATCACTAAACTTTTTATTCGTAATTTAGTTAAACAAAAGTGTCTGCAGTAACAAGTTAGTTACAATTTTTACCTTTCTAAACAGATTTCTTACTCTTTTATTCATGAAAACTGAAATAGAATCTCAAAACAAATGATATCCAGTTTTCATCATTGCTTGAAAAAGGCAAGTACCGAAGATGTCCAATGAGAAATGAGATTACAGAATCTAAAATGCGAAGTAAGTTTATAAAATTTATACAAGAATCTGGTGTTGATACCAATCTCCGTTTTGCTACTGAATTAAATTTAACAGCTTTAATATTGTTATACCCACATATTTCTTTCTGGAATAAATAAGATACATTAGAATGACGAGGGATTGAGGATAAAAAGTAACAATTCACACGATCTATCTTCACATATTCTACAATCAGCTAGTTATAAATAGTATAACAAACAAGCTTAATTGTGTCAGAGAATTTCGACCTTCAGATAATGTTACGAATCTCTCTTAATAAAACCCAGCTGTTCCTATTGCCTAGTATTCTCTGACAACAATACACTCGACAAGTCCCCAAATCAGAACACGGTGGAACAAGAAAAGATTATATTCCAAACAACAAGGTTAAATGGAAGTAAGAGGCCGAAGCGAAGGCGAAATAGGAATAACGTTAGTATCTTCATAGTTTTTACATGAGAAGCTTCTGGAATCTAATCAACGTGATCGATTAGCGCTGATCGGATTAGATTTAGCCAATCAGTGTGCAGATAAAAACATAATAATTTTCTAGAATGCTCTCCAAGTATCGACCAGGCGCTGGTTGGATAGGAATCAGTCAATCAGTGCGCAGCTAACGCTGTCCTACTTTATTCCATCTATGTCCCACTAACAGATAATTATGAAGATTAGGGAGCGTCGAACTGTGAATTTCCGTAATTACCATAAAAATAAACTGGATGACCTTAGTTTTGCCTTTGTAATAGTATCGTCACTGAAGCAATCAATCGTGAAGACGTCGTTAGTTTGATCGACCGGACCAACCAATCAACACACGATCGAAGTATTAAAAAACAGTCGTGAATGTTTCACATTTGATTTCTAAATTCCTGATAAATGTAATTTTAATTTTACCATAATAGCCCAATTGTTTAAACGAGCGTAATAAATAGAACAAGTTTTTCCACGTTATTGTTAGACAACTTAGCAAAGACTGTTGTTTCCGAAAAACAAAGCAGGATGGTCACATGAAGGGTGAAGTTTATTCTTTTTCGGTGGTGAAATTCCTTTAGGTTTAGTTGTCCATGTTTGTAATGTGTTAATTTTCATTTTAGACAAAGCCGTTTGGCACCAGCTTATAGGTTACGCTTGTAGTCTCATTGCCTTAAGTAGCTTCTTGATAAAAAGAATTTTAGCATAGTGAACTTACTTTAGAAAATTTTGGATTTATAGCAAAATCTATTCTCAAGATCCATTCTCCCATCCACTTTATACGAATTACACACGTAATGTTGAAGTTATTTTTAGAGGTAAATTTTTCGAAAAAGTAGATGCTAATAATTCTTGAGACCTTATCGATTATTACAGTTACTGACGGTCTATACGAAGGTTTATAGCATTACAAACACTCATAACTCGGAATCGGTGTTATTTTCAAGCAGTTCTAGATGGTTTCAGTTTTTTATCTGTAACAGATAATTCACTGTAAACAGCGTTATCTGTTTTAATTACGGTGGTTGGCCTACTAACAACGCGCGTATGTATTTAATCTTCCATATATATATATATATATATATATATATATATATATATATATATATATATAACATTGGTCTTCCAAATAGATATTTCATAAATTGACAGCAAACAAAATGTATAATTTCAATCGACTAACTACTTTATAACTATTTTATAGCCTCCAGTTCTACCGGAAGATTTGAAGTGGTATCTGTAGAATGCCAATCAGAATCCGCATACGATGCAGAACAAAGTGACAAAGGTGAAAACAACATTATGTTGAGAAGAAACGTTTGAGAAAATCAAAGCAAAGTATAGCTGATAGCAACCATTATGATAAAATATTGACATAATGGTTGTTGCAAATTTCAGATTTATAATCGTTAAAAATTGGTTATCATCATTTCAATTTTATCAAAATTAAATTTATATTAGATTGAATGATTTATCTAATAAAACAATAACGATTATTATTATTTTTACAGGCCTATTTTCTTTGTTGTTGTTGTATAAGAGGAATTATTCACTTGTATGTTTTAAAGAGTCCCATGAAAAATCAGCGACAAGAGCGATATGATCACTTGGGAAATAGGCATTTGGCAGACCCAATTCACTAGAATCCGGTGTGATTTGACCATTTGCGCTCATTAGTTGGATTAACAGCTCTTTCATTTTCTCCAGTGAACCAATCGGTAACACATGGATACACTTCAAATCTGAGTCGGTATTATACAGTATGACATCCAAAACACTGTGAAATCCAGGCACCCAGTTAGTGAATTCCAGTGGATTATTTTCATAAGCTGATGCAAACGTAGGCTGATAAGGAAATTTCTCGTCAGAGGAGCATTTGTCACCTTGAGTGAGAGCGGTATACACATCACTACCTGGACACTGATTAATATCCCCACAAAAAACAATTGGAATCGGTCTCCTGAAGTAAGAATGAAAATAAACAAGGATTAATGGGATGAGAGATCCAATTAGTGATCATAATTAATTGAATTAACGAAAGTAGTGTTGGAATAAAAGCAATCAGTTAAAAAATTACTAGTTTGTGAAAGTTGTAAGCAAGCTTCACTTTGTTTTTCATGTATCTTAAAAGTTCCACTGGTTAATAATATTTTGACTAGTGAACATATGTTTGCATGAAATATTTAAATTCACTGGATAACTATCTAATTCTTAATGCCACTGCATGGAAACAATTCGAATGCCCACATGTTCAGTAAGATAGCTGGCAAATTTTAGTTTTGTATGATGATATCTGGTAAAAAGAGATTTGTATAGTCTCATTAATTTTTATGAAAACTAGTGTGACAACGGTTGAGTGATTTCTCAGCGTTAATGAAATGCGCACAAGCGTAAAGCTAGTCATGATCAACACAGAGCTTGGAACCGACGTGTGTTACCACACCGCATTAGCACGACGAAATGAAAACAACAGGATGAGTAGTGAAGGAGTCGAAATCATCCAGTAGTAAGTATCGGATTGGGATAGAGAGAGTGAAAAGTTGTGTACGAAGGAGTTCTTGAACTTAAGATCAAGTGTACGATAAAGTGGACGCATCTGCATCATTTTGACTGATCCTGAGCCATGTCACTGAACGGCTAAATCTCTGCTCACGGACTCCAAGTGAGTTTACACATATCATGCGGCCCCCGTTTAATAGTTAATGACTACATGGATTGATTTCATGTTTTTATTTGACCGGTCCTAACTCTCAACTTACTTCTGCCCCAGAGAACCTCGTCCGTCGAGGCAGGCATATGTAACACATGTCCTAGCTGATTTAGATTATAAACATGAACTATCTTATCAACCAATTTGCTATATTTGCTCAGTACCCTATGTCTGATTCCAGCACAATTAAATCAGTCATTCCACAATATGCCTAAAATGCTTGGGAGACTAATGAAGTTTGTGAATAAACATTAATTGAGATGCCACGTTCTTAAAAAGAGACTTAGTTATGCAACTTAATGCTTTGTTTTGGATTTGGATGCATTCTATGTAAGTTAGATCAGGATTATTTTTGATAAGAATCGTTCCACGTTTTAGAGTTTAAGAAGCTTTACGTCTTCACGTCATAACCATCATTAAGAGTTTACGTTCGATACGGCTGCAATAATATTAACAGCTGTCTTCTGTTAAGTGGACAGTGTACCCAGAAATCTGTTTCAGCTAAACATATCCACATAGTAATTAATAATGTACACACCTGACCAAAATTTCTACGATAAGAGTATCGAAGACTGAAAAATAAGAAATGAGTCAATAAACGAAAAAAAATACTTGCTTATCCAACTGTCTGTAATCCATAGCAAGTTTTGATAAGTAGTGGTGTACTGTACATGCCTGAATCATTCGAATTGCGCTAGCAGAAGGATGAAAGTAGAAGTGGGCATTCGAAACAATCAGTAAAGGAGATTGTGATGTGGTCGACTTTTCCCGAAATATTCCACTGATCAGGCATTGTGATAACGACTTTTGAATATGGGTTTCATTATCTTCTTCACCAAAGGAATGAGACGTAGAACCGCAATTTGATGTTGTAGAATTGAAACTATTTAGCATAACTGATAAAAATGGAACAGTTGAGGCATAATGAAGTATTGATGGTAGGCCGCATTTCAATACAAGTTCAAAACGAGTGCGACGGTAAAAAATTGCACAACCTTCACCCTTTGAAATGAAAAAAGTATATTATATGTATATATATATATATATATATATATATATATATATATATATATCCAAAGCAATTAACAGTTGACATTTATAAGTATCCAATCAATCTCTTGACCCTGAAAATTGATACAACCATATCAGATTTCAGTGGAGAGTATTCGTAATCTGTCTATGCTTTTACCTAGCGCATAGTAATAGATGAAAATGCTTTAATAGATTATAGCAGTATAGTAAACATTATAATTGGTGAAAAGATGAGACCACAATCGCCACATACAGAGAAAGATGTCACAGATTATGTGAGGGCTATTCTCTAAGATGCTTCGTCAGTTTTCTAACTTCCTAACATATTAGGGCTTTTTTAATCAGCGGTAGGGAGCCATTCGTGAAAGAATCTGAAATAAGAAATATTGTCATTATAAAATAATATATGTAGGGCTGAATAAAAAGGAAAGTCTACATTCTTGATAAAACTTCCGACAGACCATACTCAAAACATTTGCAGCCTGAGTACTTGAAATAGACTGACATGACAAAAACAGAAGTCACAATAAATACAACATTTTTAAATACCTTAGTACGCCTAACAGTAGACAGAGTCCACTCTCTCTCTCTCGAAATGCTCTCATAGAGCCGCTGTCAGGGGAGTCAAACTCACTACCTTCTCGTGGCATGGGTACCGATTACGAAGTTGTGAGGACGAAAGGCCAATGTCCGGCACCTAAACAGGGTTAGTGGAGACGGAGGACACACCTAGAAGAGTTAGAAAACTCTGATTCCAAACCATTGCTGCACATCGGTTTCAGGGTCCTGATAGAACAAATAGCGTATAGACCTATTGTTGATCACCGGCTTCCATGGGACTGCATCTCTTAACGTTGTTCTATACTGTCTTGTGGATCAAATCTCTTGGTCAAAGAGTTGGTGAGTGACTCTTTATGAAGACTACCTGCTTCGTTTTCGGCACTTGGACAATACCTCAGCCCACACACAGATTCACTGATTTGTGTGATGCATACATTTTTTTAATGCTCCTTTATATCATCAAGTGAGTTTAAACAAATTTTTAAACAGATAATATATAACCAAACTGTTTTATAACAAATAAACTGATTTTACTGAAAACAAGTACACTATAACCACCTTTTCTTTTTCTATGTCAGTTTTTATTTTAGCTGGATTATGTGGATCAGTTACGACTGCTCTTTTAGCTAAGAATATGCCGTCCATATTTCGATGAGATCGTAAAGCATTCAAAAGGTATTTGTCGTAAACCCATCGATCAACTTCCTGAAGACAAATGAAATCCGACTGATAGGAAAATAGTTCACGTAAAATCAAAGGTAATCGGTAGGATGAACTAATACATTTCTCTGGGCAATGTTTGAATAAATGGTCACGAGCAAATTCAGATTGAGTGTACATTTCAGCCAGAATGTTGTAACTGACAACACGTAAATGTTGCGAATCTAGTTGATTGTTTTCAATCCACTTATACCTGTGAATTGATACAAAAATGTATGAAATTATGAAACCAAGTAGACGTATTAATTTAGTTATTGATTTAAACACATAAGTAATGATACAAAGGAGCATTAAAAAAAATGTATACATCACACAAATCAGTGAATCTGTGTGTGGGCTGAGGTATTGTCCAAGTGCCGAAAACGAAGCAGGTAGTCTTCATAAAGAGTCACTCACCAACTCTTTGACCAAGAGATTTGATCCACAAGACAGTATAGAACAACGTTAAGAGATGCAGTCCCATGGAAGCCGGTGATCAACAATAGGTCTATACGCTATTTGTTCTATCAGGACCCTGAAACCGATGTGCAGCAATGGTTTGGAATCAGAGTTTTCTAACTCTTCTAGGTGTGTCCTCCGTCTCCACTAACCCTGTTTAGGTGCCGGACATTGGCCTTTCGTCCTCACAACTTCGTAATCGGTACCCATGCCACGAGAAGGTAGTGAGTTTGACTCCCCTGACAGCGGCTCTATGAGAGCATTTCGAGAGAGAGAGAGTGGACTCTGTCTACTGTTAGGCGTACTAGGGAAGTCGGAGGCAAGTGGAGAAACATTTCATCCAATGCGATAGCGTAACAGCCTCATAGATGCACAAAAAAGAAATAAAGTGTAGCTAAAATCAAGGTCTCACGTGATTGCTGAACACCGACTAAAACCATATGCTATTACAGCCAATAAGTATTGAGACTAAGAAGAGCATATCTCTGAAGTTTTCAAAGCCTCATATCGCTTCGGATAGCATATACGTGGCGCTCATAGTTCAATAACTACATTGTTAAACACGATCCCGGAATATCTTTACTTCTTTGCGTGAAAAGTTCACATATAATTCTTAAACCAACGTTTCAGATAGTATCATTAGGATGAAATAAAACACAATGCATACTATATCGACCACTTTACAGTTATGTTATTTCTTATTTAACTAAAAAGCTTATCTTGAGCCTTGCAAAGTGTATGCATTACTACCAATCAGTTTTGCAAAAAAATACAATTAGTTACCGCAATTAACTGTAACACAAACAATTACTCAGTAGGATATGTATTCAATTAATACCCCCAATGTATCACAAACAAGCTAGAAAAGTGAAAAGTACCCAAATAAATTGTATGTAACTCACTTCAGTACATACAACTAGGTCTATAAAAAATGAAATTAAACTGATTATTGACATTCTTACCTCTGTTGATGAAATATCTGATTAGGTGCCATAAGAACCGGTGATTTGCATTCAATTGGTTGTCCATACGGATCAAAAAATTTGCATGTTCCAAATGGAACACCGGCCATGCCTTTAACATCACGTACACGAACTTTCAGCCGAATCGACAAACCAACATGATCTTCAGTCGGTATGAATAGGAAGCCTCTGTGACAAGGTTTATCGGGCCATTTTTTAGACTGTAAATTACAGGGAGAAACAACTACAAACAATCTGATCACAATGAATAAAAAAGTTAAAAAACGATCGGATTTAGACATTAAAATTAACAAGATGAACTAAAATATAGAAAGTGATTCGACAGAACTGATAGTAACAACTTTACACTGTTCTACTAATTTAATTTAACAACGTTCAAATTTTAAATCATTGACTTCTATGTCAAGTTAGGAGGGATTCGACTGAATTCCATATTGATATTTATGTGTCAAAATTAAGTGAATTTAGCCAAATTTATGCACGTGGGTTGAAATTGATCTGAAAGTTTCGATTTTTTGGGATAGTGGAATTATTGTTAACACTCAATGAAAAGTTTACGATGATGAATTCTTCGTTTGCTACGAACCATGAGAAGAACTAAGCGAGATTAGAGATAAGCACCTATTGACTACATAGTGTGTAAATCCATATGAATCCGGATGTAAAGTCCTGCATTTTCGCATACTATTAAGAGTACAAACGAAGAAATTCAGAGATTGGTACCAGGCTTGACTACCCTACCGAACGTTACTTAAGATCGTCCAATTTTTATAATAGTATGTGGGTTAAGAGTGAATGGACTTACAAAATAAATCGAACAACAGATTTTACACACTCCTTTACAAAAAACCATTCATATAAATTCAAATGTTCACTGCTTCTATATTTCTGTCGAAAATTAAATTTCGTAAATTCACCAAAGATTGGAAATGAATACTAGATATCCGAGAAATAAATTTTTCATTGTGATTATTTAATTAAATAGAATAATACATTAGCATAAATACAATAACAAATTTATAGAAACAGTACAATAATCGAGAAATTATATATAAGATTGAAAAAAAGATAAATAGCATACGAAATGCAATTACCTGTCCGACGAACCAGAGAAATTCAGAATTTGTCAGACATATATTTTCCCCTTCAAGAAATGGTACAACTGGGCAACCCACCATTGGAATTGTGTTTAAACGGCATTGGACTATACGTGCTGGATTTCTTTGGACAGCATAAACGAGCAAGGTATCTTTTTCAGGATAATCATGCATAGAAAAGTTGATTTGCAGCAACATTTGGTATGGTTTATTAACATCATCGTTACTAGAGTCAGATAGGAAACACTCTTCAAGAGTTTTGTCATCGTTAAATTCTGTTGAACCACTAGATTCATCTGTATTTTTGCAAACTAAGCTAGCTTTTGTAGCGAAATAAACTCTGTCATTGGTGGTTACGCACTTTCCTTTCAAATGCTGACCATTAATAGAAGATATAAGACGAGTTAACAAAGCGGCTAAGGGTTCATGAACTGACAATTCAAAAGAAAATCGTTTTTGTCGAAGATCCTTTTGAACTCCAAAATTAGTTGAAGCTGGGATCGAGTATGGAACAAACACTTCTGCAATCAACTTTTTACATTCTTGCTCGGTCACAGATCGGATAAAAAAATAAGGAAAGATATTCGAAAACACATCCGAATCTCCTTTTGAATGATCTGCTTGCATATGTATTTTGCGGTAATGTCTACAGAACAGATATCGAAATAAAACTCTCATCCACCTTTGAACAGTAGAAATTTTACAGGAACGCCTACAAAATTGCAAAATAAGTCATACAAAATTGTGAAACCGGTTTGTAACCAAAGTAAAAAGAAGTGAAGTTGTATAACCGACCACCAGATTTAGGGCAATATTTCCATTGTTATTACAACACAAACTGTAGTATGGTATACAGAATAGCTAGGGTTCCTTATTGTTGGTTATTTTGAACAACATCTAGTTAGCTGTCATTTAAGATATGCAATGTTATAAAGAATTGAATAACTAGCTTAATCTCAAAAAAATTCAAAAAGGAAGCTACGACCGAAAGTACACTGTCCAGTACGGCTAACTAGGCATCAAGTACACTTAAAAATATATTTTTATGAAACACCTAAATATACGAGGAAAGTGAAATAAGCAAAGACCTAAAAGTACGTCACATATACCTAGATAGTTTGTATATAGAGATATATCACAAGAGCAAATTCTGAAATGAAAATCAGGTCTATGTGCCTGAAAGGTGACAACGGAATTAATTCTACAGACCTTAAAGGTTTAGTGTATTTAGTGATACATAGACTATCTGTCACAACACTGACGCGACAGTACATTGATGATTAAAAAATGACGAAAACAGAAAAATCCATAGTTACATCGAACGAAATCTCACTCGACATTCGTGAACACCTTGAAGTTTGACGAAGTTGAGGAACCATAAAATTAATTATATCACTATAGGATCGTATATCATTGACGGAATAACTTGAATCCTACTTCTTAATTACTACTACCACACTAATTCGAGAAATTCTGAAACTCGAAACAAACTCCAATCAACCGGGACAAATAAGTACAGATTTCGGAGAATGATACATATTTACAAATTATGTAATTCAAAATTTGAATGTTCAAAGCCTATCAGCAGCTCTTGGACGTAGATGCTAAAGGTAAGATTCCAAACACGGATTCTCCTTAACACGACCATCTCGGGGATGTTACAATCAGATAAACATTCCACGTCAATAGTAGTCATTCTTAATGAGTAGAAAGAGAATTCGTTGAAAGACTACTGGCCTTACGGAATACTAATTTGTAAACCAAGTTCCTAGCATTGATATTGGAATCTCGTTGCTTTTTCATACTGCTAGACATGACCTACTGATACTATTAATCAATTCATTTTCTGGATAACTCAAAAAAACCCATCCGATGCTTTATGAGTGGGAAGATGAGAACGACTAATTGTTAGAGGGAACAGCATATTAACATGGCAAGCAGACTTCAATGTTTAGGTACAAAAATAACAACCCTCATTTTTCGCGTCCTTTCAACGTAACTCGCTCCCTAAAATTACAGGTTTATGTGAGGACGAGGCCACAGGCCGTACGACTGATACCAATAATGTAAACTGCTCTTACCAATATTTACTAATAAGAGAGGGGTATATTTCAAAATCTCCCCTGATTTGGAAGTTGGAGGAATATTAATTTCGATTTTATAAAAGGATAACTGACATCAAAGCACTAGTCAAAACAGTTCGGGAACAACATTCCTACCGGGAATTATGTTTTATATTACGTTTAGATAGTAAACGGAAAGTCAGGAGCAGCTTTCGTTCTCCAATGGTCAGTTGACTGACATAAATAAACGGTGTAAGACATTTTCAAGGATGAAAATGAATGGATAAAATTAGACCAATGTATTGTGTTACATAATACAACTTAATTCTTTGAGATAACCTAGGTGTTCTATTTTGAACTTTCATCATCTTTTATACAGAAAACATTAAATTTGAGGAGGCTGATAAGCAAGTATATTGGTTAAGTTTTCCATTATGATCACAGGCTAACGAGGGATTCAGGTGTAAATTTTATTCACTGATGCTCTACAATTGTCAAAAGAAACTCTTTCGGAATAATTTTAAAGTTGTATAAAGTAAAACTGCATACACACATTGATGTGCAATACAAAAGCCACTTTTAATTTACTTCCTCAGGTTATTGCTGACGGATTTGTAACTGTTGACGTGGAGATTAAATTAGTTCTCACCGGACTAACTAATATAAGATCAAGAATTTTAAGTTCTGAAACAAGCGATGCTTCCGATAAACCTAAGAAAAGTCACGATTCCCTGGGACTTCGTACGCAATACACGTTGTTTCTGATCTTATGAAAACCAGGTTGGAGAAAGCTGGATCTTGTATTTTGTGGGTTTATACTTCTAAAAGGTATGTCATGTACACACGCGCGCACACAACCTACATCAGGTGTTGACATCTGGACTAAACCATTCATCGTAATGGACTGTCTAAACTGCATAATGTAGAGCCAATATATACTACATAAACCGATAACTTTACCATACACAAATAACTCCAAGTTATTGAAACAATCTACTCCGAAGTTTTATAACTGAGGAACTGTTTTGGGCGTACAATAAATCGAAAATATTACACTTAAGCCGTAACTAAGTTCATTTACGATTAGTCTTTTGGTAAAAATGATTTCAACTACGTCACTAGGAAATAAAGTGAAAAACTGAAAAATGATACAATGGATTCCTCTTTAGAGCGAGCGAGACTAAAAGAAACAATCTTCGTAAAAAACCAAATCCAATTTTAGATGGAATAGCAAAAATAAGGCTGATTTACAAGCATATATATTAGACACGTAAATAAACATCAATTAACTACACACATATTAGTTTAAGTGAAAACTGACTGACAAACAGCAAGTGCATTAAGAAAAAGATAGTGAATAATCCACAAGAGTTCATTTATATAATTAAAAATATATTAGTTCGATAAGTTCAAGATGAATATGAACAAGTTGAATGTGGTCATCTGTGGAAACTAATCTACTCGGTGAGTGAATAAAATTGACAAAAACAAAAACCTGAATATCAGGAAAGTTATTTAAACACTTTTGATAAAAATGAAATCCTGGGTAAAACTAGAATACCGCCTGTCGAGATATAATGTGAGCCAATATCCCAGAAGTTACGAGGAACAAAGACAAAATAAACTTAATAACTTAGAGGAAGACTACAGAGAAAAATTTATCTAAACTTGCGACGCTTGGACTTTCCGCCTAAAGTTCCTTGCGAGTTGTAACTTCCTGAGTTTAGCGAGTGTGATGATGAATGTAAAGGGGAATCTGGTTTACGATTAGCAGGTAACAAAGTTGATAAAATTGGAGGTGAAGAACGTGAAGGACTAGAGGATGAACGCGACTGTAGGCGAAGTGGTTTGATGTTCGAACGTATAGTACAATCCACAGACGTCGGGATATTTTCTAACGACCCAGCTGAATTTATTTCCCTTGAAACTGCTGGGTAATCATCATCTATCCTAAAGGATTGTCGTGATGTTGGATTGGATGAAGTATTAGACGATGATGACAACCCGCCAGGACTAGACCGCTGAGAAAGAGATCTTGCAGGCCCGGTACTGGATCCATCAGACGAGGAAACAGAAGGGGAAAATGCAGAATGTGAACTAGAAACTAGGCTCGTGGTGTTGCTGTCGGTTGCCAGTGCCCCCACTGAATTTATGGTGCTCGAGTTAGTGACGAAATGCATGATTGTATTAGCACGGCCAAGGGCAGAGGGAGAATAACTTGCCACAGTGCAGAGAACAGGCTTTTGTGATTGAGGAACAAGCGGATGACTAGACGACACATATTCTGTTCCAGAAACAGTTCCGGGCTAAAATGAAAAAAGATACATAAATGCAACAAATGTTCATCAAGGTTTATCACATAAGCCATGTGATATCTCGACTCTAGTTGAACGAATACAAGCAATAAGTGAGCTGAGTAAATAATGACGTGCCGTTGTTACGGCTATGCAGAGCGAATCAACAATATGCTTGAGCATTAAGGATCGACCTCTGTGTGTCACCGCTTCTGTCCTGCATCGCACGTTTGCTGACCAGTCTCACGAATGAAACCGCTACGATTCGAAAGTGTCCACCTTTTCTAGCAAGCGGGCCGCTGAAGTGATTTCATGTTTACGAAGAAAATCAATTTTTTAAATAGCAACATTAATTATTATAATTAATCGTCTCAATGAACGTATTATTGAACATTCGTTTGTTCGTACTTTTGTTTACAGGAAATGACTTTTGTTCTTTTTGTATATATACCAACATTACGATACGGTCATTGTACTACCCATTTTTGGTCACTATCTTGTTTTAGCTGCTGTGTCCTGACCATAGCTGCTATCTTGTCGTGGTGGAACTGACGCTCTTTTTCTGGAACGTTTCAGTATTTCTTTGGTACCACGAAATCGCCAGCAAATACACCGATTTCATCCGGTCTATCAAGTCTTGGTTCTTCATATAGAAGATTTTGGGTCACGTGAAAGACCCGAATTCAATCTGTGTATAGATACGTTCATAGTTCCGCAACTGGAACATCCATAATTCGATGAGCCCGTTCTGAAGCAAATCCATTTTCTGTGAGTTTATGATGAATCATTCTAATTTTTTTGTTGCTTTATATCTATTTGTATCTGTTGATGTAAATATTCTTAGCAACAACGTTCCTAAATGGTGAACGAGGACAAAACTCCCGACAGCGTCGTAGACTCCGAGGTTTTGGTCGTCACTTTTCGACCTGTTTGCTTTATACCCCACGATCAAGATGTTTAGTTCGCGGCATTAGAAACTCAGTTCGAGTTCCTCCGCATTACGAGCCGACGGCAAATGTACGCTCGAAGATCAACTAGTTGTTCGCGAGGGGATTACCAATCCCTATGTCGCAGATATTTTTGGTCGTCTTAAAGAGGCGATACTGAGATATTTTCTCCAGGGTGTGAGCGTACACTTGTCGTAGATATAAAGCAACAAAAAAATGAGAATGATTCATCATAAACTCACCAAAAATTGATTCGCTTCAGAACGGGCTCGTCGAAATAAAGATGTGCGAGTGACTAAATCAGTGATCAGAGAAAAAGAACGGGCTGGTCTCTAATTATAAACTAGAGTTCTGTTGACTACCATAAGAAAAACACAAGCCAGACCAGAAAGAAGCAAATGAGTGATGACTGATGTGGTTTATCGAGAAAGAGCATGGAACCACTCGGTCGAGAAAGATTAACATTAATTAAATGCCAAGGATAGACTTAACGGTTAATAATATATCCAACATAATAGATAATATGACCTATTGTTGTGACGATCATGATTAATCACTTTTTTATGATATTTAACTCCATTTGGAGCTCTTTTGGGGTCACTGTAGGTTCGACGTTCATACAAAGAGGGGATTGAGAGAACACAACTGGTAGGAAAGAAACTATCTTAAAAAATACACAAAGATATCATCTCCATTTAAACGGTGTTGTACGAGTATTTATCCATTTAAGTACACATGTAATGATACAAAGGAGCATTAAAAAAATGTATGCATCACACAAATCAGTGAATCTGTGTGTGGGCGTAGGTATTGCCCAAGTGTCGAAAACGAAGCAGGTAGTCTTCATAAAGAGTCACTCACCAACTCTTTGACCAAGAGATTTGATCCACAAGACAGTATAGAACAACGTTAAGAGATGCAGTCCCATGGAAGCCGATGATCAACAATAGGTCTATACGCTATTTGTTCTATTTCAGGGATCAGTTCAACTGCCTTTCAGCCTCTCTCCTGTTAACCACGATCCCCAGTCATCCTGAGAGGCAAATCGATCTAAGTCCCCCTAGGCCTTACGAAGTTGAGAAAGCGATAGGAAATCTGAAGCGAGGGCGAGCTGCAGGTCCTGATAGACTGACCCGAGATGGTAGTCCAGTTTTAGCAGCTAGGTTGAATGAGATCTTAGGTACAATCTAGGAACTGGATGTAATCCCATCCGACCGGTCTCAATCACTGATTGTCTCAATCTATAACAAAGGACAAAATTCCTCGTGTGACAATCACAGGGGAATAAGTCTAACTGATATAGTTTCTAAATTGTTAGCCTCGATTATACTTAGACGCCTTACTAGTGCTCGTGAAGAGCAGACTAGAGAAAACCAGTCTGGTTTCAGACCTTGACGTGGCTGTATAGATCACATATTCACACTAAGACAGGTCCTGGAACACAGACACACATTTAGGCGTCCTACAATAGTTGTCTTCCTGGATCTTAAGGCGGCATTTGACTCTGTTGATCGTGAGGTTCTGTGGCAGTGTCTGTCACTGAAAGGTGTACCAAAGACGTACATTAACCTTATTCAAGCTCTCTACTCGAACACCACTGTTCGAGTGAGAGCTTATGGCGAACTGTTATCGGGATTGTTTACTTCAAGTGGTGTCCATCAGGGATGTCCACTCTCTCCATTCTTGTTTAACTTTATCATTGACATGCTCCTAGAAATAACCTTATCCTCGTCTGAATTTTCAGGAGTAGACCTATTACCAGGAGGCTCGCTTGTCGACTTAGAATATGCCGATGACATTGTCCTACTTGGTGAAGACGCTGACAAAATGAAGTCTTCTGACCACCTTAAGCAACAATGCAAGCATATTCGGGATGCGGTTTTCTCCCTCGAAACGCAAAATTTTGCTTCAAGATTGGGTTGCATCGGCACCTGAACTAGTGATAGGGAGTGAATTAGTCGAGCGTGTTGACCGGTTCACTTATCCGTGGAGTCTCATCAGTGTTGATGGCCTGGCCAGCTCGGATACAGAAGGCTCGATTGGCTTTTGCCAACCTGCGTCACTTATGTCGCAGGCGAGATATCCGTTTGCTAACCAAAGGACGAGTGTACTGTGCAGCAGTTCGCTCCGTCCTACTGTACGGATGCGAGACTTGGCCGTTAAGAGCAGACGACATTCCTAGGTTACTGGTTCTCGATCATAGGTGTCTTTCAAAGCATTGCTCGTATATCCTGGGACACCCGAGTGAGCAACGCTGTTATTAGGAAACGGGTGCTAGGTAAGAATGGCAGATCAATAGATAAAGTAATGAAACTTCATCAGTTGAGGTGGTTTGGACATGTGCTGCATATGCCTAACCACAGACCGCCTCGACGAGCTTCTTCTTGTAGTGTAGGAATAAGTTGGAAGAAAGCTAGGGGCGGCCAAACCAAAACATGGCAGAAATCCATGAAGTCACTGACAAGTGGACTGAGTCATGTTGGTAGATGTAGGCTACCTGGTTGGGGTCCGCGAAACGATAGCCACCAATGGTTAGAGACCTTGAACGACATGGCTCAGAATCGTTTGCAATGGCGCATGTGCATCCACTCTTTGTGCGCTTTTTAATTCTAACCTGAATTCCTCATAGTCTGTCTTTCTCCTTCTAAATTTATCTTACTGAATTATACTTCTCGAATCATATCTTCGCTCCCTAATCGTCTCCATTGCTGCTAATACTTCTATTATTGCTATCACTCTGCTGATGGGGTACGGCAACCTGAACTGATGTACTTACGTACGAAGTTCTGCGTTGTATCTGTCCGTCTGTCTATTTGTTCTATCAGGACTCTGAAACCGATGTGCAGCAATGGTTTGGAATCAGAGTTTTCTAACTCTTCTAGGTGGGTCCTCCGTCTCCACTCACCCTGTTTAGGTGCCGGACATTGGCCTTTCGTCCTCACAACTTCGTAAACGGTACCCATGCCACGAGAAGGCAGTAAGTAGAACTTCTTTGACAGTATTTTGATTAGGATTATGTATATGAACAAGGAATGAGGACACATGAAATTGTTGAAATGAACAGTGGATTTCGTTCGGTTTTATAGATGGGATGGACGGTTAATCTGAATGAACAAAGGAAAACGGTCGATACCTAATGATGAGAGTATTTTAGAACCGATGAGAACTTGACCATTATGACGTATCAATGGAGTTGACAGTGATGCCTGCCGATAAAAACAAGTAGCTAAACGAATATGAAGCACGGGTTTAAATCTTGTGAAGTGACAACCTCGGATCATGAGTTGTTGATTTCACCTAAATGAAATGTAGGTTACCAACAGATGTACGAACTGTTAACCAAGGTTAATCGTGTGACTACGGACTTTTCACAGAAAAGTGAGTACATACAAGCTTTACATTGGATTACGCCATACAAAAATTCGTAAACTACACTTACACAGTCTGTGGATGTAGATGACTGAAGTGGGTCTTGAGACGTGCAACGATACATCGGGACAGCCGAAGCTGTTGGTGATATTAATCGAAGGGCGACATTATTATTTGGGGAAATAGTGTTAGTAACGGACGAACTCGATGTTGGAGTGTTGCACGCTTCTTCGCCATCCATTCGTTGCACCAAACGTTGGAGCTCTTGAACCTAAAAAGTTGATGATACAAACAACAACTAAGAATAAAAGCAAACCAGTCACTTACAAGGATCCTAGTCTATCAAAATGAAAAACCAGTCCAACATTTTGAAGTCAACACATCAAATATAGGAATTGAAACTGAATCGGAACTTAAAATAGGATGACTTATTCAAAACATTAACTGAAAACAATTGTCATTTGTAGTATTCATCATTAGTATGTACATGAGGTACTCTGCTGACATTCATAGTTACATTAGTTACCATGGAATAAATAAGGTAGTATGCTTGTTCTTTAGTTCCATTGTATGTGAACAAATTTCATATGAGTAAATGTCGAAATTTCTTAATATGGTGCCGCCCCAAAACATATATAAACCAGCTAAAATAGAGGCGGGTTGAAAGTGAAGAAAGAGGATATCAAGATATGACGTCCATGAAGTTATTAACTGTCATTTTTCGGTTAGCTGTAAGACGTTTCCCTAGTTTGCGTTTGAGATGTAATCGTTAGAGATTGTGTACAGTTGCCCGAAATGTATCATGGTGCGGATTCATTAACAATATATCTTCCAACTGTCCAGCATCAATATTCATACATTCTGATACTAAATTGCATTTACTTACTGTTTCTTTCCTCAGATATTTGTCATTAGTCGCAAACTTGTCTTTTTAATTAAAAATTCATGTCATTTGAATGTGAAGTGGGGTAAAACAAAATGGACACACAATGTTCGACACTTCAGACATCTGTCTACACTAATAATTGACAAAAATATCAGTTTGACTCATAGTCACTTAGTTACAACGTAAAACTTCGTACATGAGAACATAAGTCCAGGTTGCCATACCGCATCAGCATAGAGACGCAACTGTCAGTTCAAATCCCAGTCGTAGCGATAGTAGAAGTATTAGCAGTAGGGATAGTGTCAAGAACTTTAAATGTACATACGTATCCACGGTTAATAAGAATATAGTCATCCTATTAATTCCACAAACCAAGCTGTATTTATTTGGATATTTAGTTGACTTTGATTGGTTTTCTACCGAAATCTTCGGGGCACAAGAAACATTGTTTTGTTGATGCCTACCAATACACATGAAAAGTCGATTCAATGTGAGTTGTCATAAAACAGCCGTTATTAATGAGTTGACTTACTCGTGAATCTAATAGGTCGTTTTGCCGTTTTAGTGTCTCAACACAGACAGTATGATCACGATTCAATTTGACCAACTCTTCGATACACTCAACTGCGCGCTGAAGTATGACTGCTCTAGATGCTTTTGATCCTCGTAGCCCAGGAATGACTTCTCGGAGATCATTATAACTTGTTTTAATGCTAGCACGTCTTTTACGTTCGAGTTGATTGTGATGATCTCGTCTGAAAGTCAACGCAGATTTGGTAATCTAAGATTGTTGAAAACTCAAGCACAGGTACCACACAAGCAATGTTATTTATAAACCTGAGAATGTTTCGTCAAAAGTAACAAACCTTAATAATAATATAATGATAATCAAAGAAAAGTTGTGTAATAGATTTACTACATTTAAAATAATACTTTGTAGAGTAACATGTTAACATGTGTAAAGTGAAAAATCATTTTTGAACAGTTTGACGACGATAATCTAGGATACAAGTAAAGGCAACCGACCATGTTAAAACGATGAAAACTCAATCATATCATCGTAGGTAATAAACTCGTAACATAACGAGTAGCTTAAAAAAAGTAAGTCTCATTGAGGATTGGTCCATGATCAAATTAAAGTTAAAATAAGCTTGAGTTGTGAGAAAGCAACTTTATTCGGCAGTTAATTGCGATACTCATAAGACTGATTGTATCACAATCCAAAATCGCTTGCAACAAAGCGGTTCTAGCCCCGAAAGTGAAAAGTAGGGGCAGATAAAACGCAGGCTGATAATAAAAAGCCTACGCAATGACTGCAAACAGTGGTGGGTAGCGAAAGCAGCACAAACGGAAAAAAACAGCAGCAATGTGTAACAGTAGACAACTGTTCAAACATCAAGAAAACTGGGGTTAGGAGTCCAACTGTTAGCGAGATCCTCCCTTAAAAGAGACTAACACCCATTTTCAATCCAGGAGATCGGACCGATGGGTAGAACAGCTGGAGCGAGAGACCTAACTGGTCTACAGCTACACTTCAGTTACCCACCATCTACAGATAACATGAATGGCAGACTGATGTCAGTCCTCCAAATACAAATGAGGTTGCAAAAAGGCTAAAGGCAATCTAAGGAGAGGGGGAGCAGAGGGTCCTGGTAGACTAACCCCTGAGATTCTTAAGAACGATGGTCCGCTTTTAGCAGTCAAATCTGATGAAATCTTAGCCAGAAACTGGATGTAATCCAATACGACTAATTACGGTCACTGAAAGTCCCAATCTATAAGAAAGGACGAAAGTCCTCTTGTGACGATCACAGAAGAATCAGTTTGACTAACACAGTGTCAAAATACTAGTTCCAATAATAATTTAACAACTAACTAGAGCTAGTAAAGAGAAGACTCGAGAAAACCAGACTGCTTTCAGACCTGGACGTGGATGTATATACCAGACAGTCACACTTCGTCAGGTCCTAGAACGTTGACACACATTCAGACGCCCGACAATAGTTGCATTCCTCAACCTTAGGGTGGCATTTGACTCCGTCAACCGTCAGGTTCTGTTGCAGTATCCATCACTAAAAGCTGTACCAGAGAAACTCACTAACATTGTACAGACTCTCTACTCGAATAATACCAGTCGACTCAGGGCTTATCGCAAACTCTCATTCGAACTGATTACTTCAAATGGTGTTCGCGAAGGTTGTCCGCTTTCTCCATTCCTACATAACTTTGTCATAGACATGCTTTTAGAGAGGAGACTTTCATCCTCTGACTTTTCAGTAGTTGACATTCTGCCAGAAGAGTCACTTGTTGACTTAGAATATAAAGATGACACAGTCCTGTTTAGTAAATACACTCAAGAAATCCTGTTTTCTGACTACCTTTAGCAATAATGCAAGCATGTTTGCGATGCGATTCTCCCCCTTCGAATACAAAACGTTTCTTTAGGGTTGGCTTGCGCCGGCTCCTAGATTAGTAATAGGAAATGAAGTGGTTGGGTCTGTAGATCTCTTCACATATCTTTGGATTGTCGTCAGTCCTGGTGGTCCGGTATCTGACAAAATCTCGGCACGGATGCACAAGGCTTGACTGGCTTTTGCCAACTAGCGTCACTTGTGGCATAAGCAGGACATCCGTCCGACAACCAAACAATGACTTCACTGAGCAATAGTTTGCTCCGCTCTACTTTATGGGTGAGAAACAAAGACATTAGTAATAGAACTACTAGATAGCCGGTGCCTTAGAAGCATCGCTCGTGTATTTTGAGACCACCGAGATCGTAATATGCGGGTTGTGATTAGGGTAAGTACTTTATAAGGATGGCAAGCAGACCTGCAGTCACCTAATTCGTCCCCCTTAATGGTCCTTTAAGTAGAAAGATTATTTAGTTTGGATTTGTGACATCCAGAAACACTATATTAATACTTCACTTTAGTGGCGCTAAATGCAGTTCCATCATTTATTATCGAAAAGGTAATGTTCATTATAATGGGGACGTCTTGGAATATTCAACTTTCTCGAAAGTTTAAGTCTTTTCGACATTTGGGGCTTGTTCACGTGATAGTAGAATGATACTTCAATAACTATCGGTGACTAATACTTTTATAGTAAACGACACTACTCGTAACTCGGGACCAGAGCAATTCGTCACGCTCAGAACATGTTGCAGCCTTTAACTTGTGCTAGGTTTGGTCTTACAGCCTTTGTAACTATGAACATTATTTAGGACCGCCGTTCCATAAGATACCAACGAGACTGTTCAGAACTCTGAGCTGTTTGACTAACGAGAATGGAAAACTAACGACACTTAGTTTCACTTGACAATCAACAGAAGCTTTTCAGACCAATCACTCTTTTAGATCTGACTGAAACAAAAACCACCTGTCAATTTTGGGTGAAAATAACAAAGTTTCCAGATAACATACCTGTTGTCTTCACCAGCCTCGACGTTGTACATAGCGCCACCTTCGCTGATTGATCTTTGTCGTCGTAAGTCAGCGCTTCTGCCCTCGTTGGCAGCACTACCGAAACTGTGACTTCCATAGCCAGAGGATCCTGGTATATCTTCTTCATCATAATCACTGAGTCCTTCATAACCGTCAACATCGTCATCATCCAAATCTTCGTCATCGACGTCTTCTTCGTAATGCTCTTCATGCATGGCTTCCTGTGCGTAAGAATTTAGGCATCGAGCCATCACCTTTATTCTCAAACTTCGGGTTCTTGCTGCAAACCTTGGATCATGTTCTTTAGCGGGGCCTTGAGCAAACCACGAGCCGCCAAACTAAGCTTTGCTATTGACCAAGGTCAGAGTCCATCTTTAGTTTACTTTGTGTCTCGAGCAGTTGCTTCAAACAAACAAAATCAAAAACGACTTACTACTTCAGTCTTGCCATTCAATCTAATTTATTTGAATAGTGTATTCGACGTACTCTGAATAAATGTGTTACTTTAAAATAACTATACATAGAAGTGAAATCACATCAATTCCGAACTAATTACCTGTATATTTGAAAATACCTCACAGCGGATCTTAATTACCTTCAAACTTTATCGAGGGAGACTAACAGGATGTTTTTTTCAACTCCTGGCAATAGATAGTGGGAGGTAATTCTTGAATACGAGAAGTTAAAGCCTACATGACCATTTGTTTATATTTAGTTACAGCGGCTGAAACTTAGTACTCAAGGCTGTCTATCTCAGTAATATTAGAATCTCCTCATTAATGAATGGTAAGACATCATCACTATTTTCATGGTTTGAACTCATATTAGGAAGTCCTTTGTGTAGCCTTATATACTGTACCTTCGAATAATCCTTTCACATATGTTGTCTTGTACCAAAACTTAATGGTGGTGTGTTGGAAGGAATGGTTCTATAAACGGTGTGATGAACCTCCTTGTACTTTCAAAAGACAATCAATGGCATAACTTTCGCTTAACAAACTGAAAATTAACCTTCTACCCTTATGTAGGAATTTCTTAATGGACTGGTGCAGTATGGACTCTACCTGTTGGAGTATCTGTCATCCTTTTAGGGTTTCATTGGGTAACTTTGTTTCTTCTTAGTTACGAATGAATGAGACTACATCCAACAGATGTGGAGGCTACGTTTCTTTATTAAGGTCTTCGGTGGGAATAACTGATCACCAAATTACTTTATCCACTCAAATACATTGAGTAACACGTCCTTTAGATCGAGAGCTAACAAGATGAAGATCACGGGAGTGTTCGGCCTCACTTCAGAATCTCGCTATATACCTCGAGAGAAGTTCACGAATTGCTGTAGCGTCTGATAAATTCTGTCATGGAGTTATCGCTGTGACATTCTTTGTCCATTTGACTATCGGACAACTACGATGAGCGATATTATTATTTCGCTATGAATTTGACATTCACTACCAATCTATAACTATTGGGGTTTAAAAGGACGCCCTTTGTCTAATCAGGGTTCATCACGCTGGACCATAGTGTAAGGAAGTAAGTAGAAAATAATTATCTACAGATGAAATTCTGGGATGACTCCTAGACTGTCAATCACAGTCTTAGCTTTACCAAAGTCAGAACAATTAGGCTATTCGGCTTGATAAACTTTACCTGTTCTCGAAATATAAATTAACATCATTAGCCAACGAAATACAGATTATAATACAATCTATGCAGAGGCGAAATGAGCGACGTAGTGAATATACCAAATAGTAACATGGAGGATAGGAAATATGTGTCAACAAAGTCAGAATTCTTTATGATAAACATGAAAGTTTATAACTGGTTAATAAGCAAGGCGTGGTCATACAAGTTCAAGAGGATTCGACGTGGTGGTGAGTGTTAGATAGGAGTGAACTGTTGCGGACAGAATTACAAACATATCAGGTGCCACATCGATAGTGGCAGCGTTTACAACTTCACCTTCCTCGAAGATGTGATGTACAGGCCCATTTCCCGTTATTTATTTCATACAGCATGATGGTTATTCGACAACATTTTTCATAGTGAGGCAACTATTATATTTTTGGAGGTGTTTTGGGTTCTCGTAGAGAAGACGCAGTGATAATGCGACGCGGTTTATGTTTATCATTTTGCTGAGCTTCACCACTGGAAATTATAATTGTCTGGAAAACTTCGCCTCTTTGCCAGTCGAGCGGCAAGCTAAATATTTTATTGCGTAGTTTCAAAATGTCCATAGTAAGGGAGATAACAGCTAAGAGGATTCCAAAGTTACTTGTATCTAACATCTCATCCATAACGGCATGCCATAAAATGCACTTCTCTACTGACTCAACGGTTAGGCAAGCCGTTTTGAGAACATATTTTTGATAAGGTTTACTACTTTACCCTCAAAGTTTCATTGTCTCCTAGCTTTTCATACAATATACTGAGCTGCACCATATGTCTGTAGCTAACTTCAATCACGCTGCGTATCTCGTCGGTAGACGGTAAACCTTTATCAGGGTGATATGTCCAAACGTTTTATGATTTTAGAAATGATCACCAGCAACAACTGGTAGTAACAAGGCATTGACTACCTGTTTGAGATCCGCGTGATAATCATGACCACTAGTAACAGACTTTCACTGACATTGCTCTTAACGCAAAAGCTAACCTTCTGAACTCCTAATCAGTTAAATAGAACCAGGGATACGTATGCTTGAGCAATACAACGGTATGAAACTATCAAGAATACTGACAAGTTGGAAGCACTTGTGAGGGTTGACTTGTGAAATAAAGTACAAAATAATTTTGAAGCTTAGGATCTGAGTGAAGAAAAAGGTGAATTCATCTGTGCCATTATAACAGACTTTATCAAATGCTCCTAGCCAGTGATCTCGGTTAACGAGCAAACCACAACCAGGTAATCTATACCTTCATACGCAGTTTGACTCCATTAATTGATGCCACGTCTTGGTTCGCTCACCCCTAGCCTCCTCCTGGTCAACTTCTACACCACACAATGTTGGACATCGAATGAGCCGATAGCTGGACAAACGTCACACCTCCCTGTTATCTCAGCTGGCGCAGATTCACTAATTCATCGACCAGTTTGATAGCTTCATTTGGTTTTCTGCGTCCGACGTCAGCACTACTCACACAGTGGTCCCAATATGCACGAGCAATGCCTAGAAGATACTTATGATCAAATGCCAACTATCTAGGGTTGTTCTCCAGTTTCAAAGGTCATGTTCCACATTCATAAAGTATAATGAAGCCAACCGCTGTCACTATACTCATCCTTTGGTTGGCAGACCGGTATCTCGCCTACGCCACAAGTTGGCGAAGGCCAGTCAAGACTTCTGAACTGGAGTTGAGACAACCCATCAGAGTTGATAAGACTCAAAATAGGTGAAACGGTTGATTCGCTCACCTACTTTATTTCCGATTATTAATCAGGGGCTGGAGAAGACGATCTGAAGCAATAATTTGTGTATAGTGAAGGCGAAACGCACCCAAAATTGTACATACTGTAGCTCAACGGAATCAAAAGATCTATCTGGATCAGGCTTTAGAATGGAGCTAGTAAATATCTCTGAGAAATATCAGGATATTGTTATCAGGGACATCAGTTTCTCCTTCAAAATAGTAATGGATACACAGAGAACTTGATTACTTGTGGTCCCGTATCAAATCTTTGGTAAATTTTACTCACAGTATCTAAATGAGTTGACCGTAGTTGTCAACTTTACAGTAATTTTCCCGGCTATTGATTGATTTTCGTACCAAAACTTAAAATTCATGTTCATCCTTTACTTCTTAGTTTACAACATTTTCTTCATTCTAGATATTTTCATTATGTGGTACATAAAATAAGGCCGATTATTGCAGATACTAAACCCATTATCGATAGTGAAAATTTATTTTGAAGTAAAAAGTCACACGTGCTGATATCCTTATATGGATCAGTTTTGCTCAAAATCACTAGGAAAAGAGGTAGACCAAGGAACACGCTGCGCCGACAATCGGAGACAGACATGAAAAGATTGAATGGCTGCAGTTAGGTGGAACTGGAAAAACAGGCCCAGAACAGAATTGGTTGCAAAATGCTAGTCGGTGGCCTATGCATCATTAGAATCCAACAATTAATTCATCTGAATAGTAAGAAAAATAAAGTAGAGAACTGAATGAAACTCGGTATGTTCACACATAATTATCTAAGGGTTTAAGAGCACACGGACTGGATGCACGACAATGTTGAAAATAAACCTAACATGCAAATCAACTGGGTTTCATGTCCAATTTTGCGCCAGTGTAACAACTTGGTTAAGGTTATATTTTCATACTATGCATCTATATTGTCTTTAATCTACCCCTTATATTCTTAATTTATTGAACAAAGCACTTTTAATTAATATTATTTGCGATTATTACCAGGCCATCCTAATATTTGAGCTGCATATTTTACTTATTGTCCATTAAACTTACAAGTGTGGGGCTGTGGATACCTATCTCGACGATACACGTATTAGTAGTAAAAGAGTTGTGTTTTATAGTCCTAGATTTTCCCGTAAGTAATGGCAGGAGATTTTTCGTAAGTCAATTTTCCTCATTGATATTGTAGGTTGTTTAACAAATTACCTTTATAATACCTCGGTAATTAGAATTTTTGAGCATGGTTTGGTCAGTAATTCGACCTTTAGCAATTCAAAATTAATGTTTTTTTAAGCATTGATAAAATAACACAACAATCCAAGGTGTTTTTTCGGAGGATACGTATTATAAGCTGCAAAAGATGGGAACTTTTTTTCAACATCCCTCTGACGTATAGATCTGTTTCAGAAAATCCTCTAAACCGTCTACACAATGAATTTCGCAAATAATTTCCGACTGAAAAGTGGTCACAGAATATCCTTGTTACAAAGATCTTCCAGCAACGTATAAGCATGATTAGATCAACCATGACAATACCTATAACTCTAAATTGTTGCTTTCAGTATTTCAAAACCAATATAATTACCGTTTTGAATCGGTTCATTTCTCTAGACTATTAGAAAAGGAAAATTCACACTTTTAATTGGAGCAATCAGTTGGTCACTTTGGCATCTATTTGATTCGTTGTTAAACATTATTCCCACAAATTTATACAGGAAAGTTAAGCAACACATTTATGGTTTGGGTTGTTATTAGGAGTGCATTAATATTGTGATATTATTACAATATTATTATTGTAATATTATTTACAATACAATGATAGACTCAAAATAGTGTGATAATTACAATTTACAGCTTTTTAATTCATTTCTAGGAAAATGTATGAATTACTACTGAGTAGATTGCTTGCATAAAGTTTTCCTTGGTTATTTAGAGTTAAAATGTGTCGGACAAAATCCATAAAAAATTCGGCGCCCAAGCTTTCCTTGGTCAAATAGTATGAACACGCATTCTGAACGAGCTCTTTCACC